AGTGTTGGCACTAAATCAAACATTACTCATCAGGCAGGAAAGTATATTTCAGTTCTGATTTCCTTTTGTTTGATGCAAGGACAGCAAATCTTCCCTGGAGAAAACTGTCATTAAATCTTCTGAAAACTTAGGAAATGCAATTTTAATATGCTACATAATTCTTCTGATGCTAAAAAAAAGCAAAAAACCACCCTCCCCCTTCTTTATGTTTTGTGAAATGTCTTCCAGATGTTCAATAAGATATAATTTATTTATACAAATGCTGGCAAGCAATTCCCATCATTATTTAAAAAGAAAATTATATGCAGTACAACAACTTGGGTGATACGCACTGTGCCAGGAATAAAGCCATTCATCCTTGATTTCTCCAAAATTTCCAAGTTAGAGCACACAAGGGCTCTGCTCCAGGCCCCAAACTGGAAATTATGACCCTGAGATAAATTAGTATAAATATACCAGACTCCATACTGGTTTGTGGACAATGATTTTTTTTTATTTGTTTTGTTGATATTTATACTTCCCTCCGTAGGTGACTTGTACCATCTAGGTCGGATGATGAGAAAATGACTAAACATGTGTCCTGACATTACAGTGCAGGATCTACCCCTCATTTGTGTATGATATGGTGACACAAGTGTGAAAAGGATGGAATTTCACAAAGATAGTACACATTTTATTATCTGCTCCCCCACTCACCCTATCCGTATGCCTGGGCCAGGGGTAGGCAACCTTGGCTTTTTTATGACTTGTGGACTTCAACTCCCAGAATTCCTGAGCCAGCATGGCTCAGCTTGGAAACCTCTCCCTTTCCCCTCAGCATGGCTGGCTTAGGAATTCTGGGAGCTGAAGTCCACGAGTCATAAACGAGCCAAGGTTGCTTACCCCTGGCCTGGGCTGTCTCTTTCCTTATACTGTGCAATAATCATGGTTGATAAATCAAGTCTGCAGGAAGAACCCATCACCAGTTAGGCTCCTGATTCCTTCCTTCACTCCCTCTGGGAATCTACTAAATCAGTCTCAGTAGGAAACTTAGATGGCCATCCAGATCTTGCTGATCTACAACTTCTAGAAGCCCACCAACATGGTTAATAGGAAGGGAAATTTGTAGTTAATGAGAAGAGATTTGTAGTTCGATAACATGAAAAAAGTTCCTCATCTCTCATGGTTCATCTTTACAACCTGAAGAATTTCTAGATTTCTGATCCCACAGCCATTCCTCACAGAATTTATCAGCCTCTGATTTAATCCTTCTTCCATTGGTGCATAATAAGGTAGCCATTAAATACCAAGTAGTTTCCTGTTATCTGAATACACTTTGAAGTTGCTACCCTCTTGAGGTGACAAGTCTGGAAACTCAAACAGGAAACTCAGGCTGCAGGATTGACTACCCATTGTTTTAAAAACTTTGTTAGCTTACTTTGTATCCAGTAAAGAACTTTAGATATATATAATAGACAGGCCATTATGTGATACTGCATCAACATAAAGATGCACATTTTAACCTAGCAGGGGTTTGTTTCTTCAATTGTCAAATTAATCAAGATGGAAGATTCTCCTGGAAAAAAAAGTACTCAATAAGTTACTTCTGCTAAAAGTTTCAAAGATTTGTAGATCAGCACTTCCAGTTAAGTTCTTAACTAATTTAACAATATCCAGCCAGTTTGAAGCAAAGCTGTAAGTCATTACAACCAGATGTTTCTACAATGTTGCTCTCTATCTAGTCAATACTGCCACCTCCTGGGCAGTAAGAGAATGACATAAAGTATTATTGGATTCCTTCTTTTTCAGTAACAGTAATTTTTATTTAACTTTTTTTTAGTTGACAGAAATAAATACATTCTCTGAGTCTGAAGGTCTGATTCTTCCAACTGTTTATTACTTCAACATTCCTAAAGCTTTTATATCTAGGCTCCACAAAAATCTAAGAGCATTAGAATTAGAGTTTTCTATATCTACTGCTGTCATCCCAAAGATGCTTTTCCATGAGGCAACTGGACTTTCTTGTTTTTTCTTTGAAAATATTTGCTTCTCATCCAAGAAGCTTCTTCAGTTCTGACTAGATGGTGGGGAATGGAAAGGTTTATAGTCCTTGCAGACAGATGCTCATTTGCATTCTTTTAGGAAGTCGTTAATGCTACCTGGAGGCTTATCTGTGTCTTTAGGGTCATCTGAATAGTGCAAATGGGTGTGGAGCCTTCTTGGAACTGTTGAAAGGACTATGTTGTAGACTGGAGATGGAAGATGTCATATCCCTCCTCCTCTGTTGAGAGAGGGCTGTTCAATTTTGACATAGATGGCCTCTTTGAAACACCTACAAAGAAAAACAAGAAAATCCAGTTGCCTCATGAAAAAGCATCTTTGGGATAACTATGACCTGGATGACTGAGAATCTCCATAGACATTACTGCTGTCGTCTGACATTTGTCTGGATTTTATATAGGCCAGTTCTGGTAACATTATTTTCTTCCTTACCACCATGAAAAGAACTGGCAATATTTGTATGATCACAGGACCTAACTTTGTTTGGAGAATCTTGTTTATTTCAGACCTATTTTTAAATAAGGATTTAGGAAGTATTCCTTATTTCCATGCCCCTTTTAACTTTTTATATTAAAATTCTACCTACTGAGTTCCAGTGACTTCTGTTATGGGAGCCAATGTAGTTTTGAGCTGCATCAACAGAGGGTCCTCCTCATGGCTTAGCTTTTCTTTTCTTTCTTTTTCATCTCTCCTGTTATTATTTTTTTCCTCTCATTCCCTTTTACAATAAAAAATGGAAGTTATGAAAGACTACTTTAGTCATTTTCTGATTGGGGTCAAGTGTTCAAGTTCAATATTCCCTCTGCCAGATAACTTGGACTATAATAGAATTTAATCATAAATTTTTAAGTGCTCCCTTGCTGATCACAGAGAAAATAATCTGTTGTTCTTATTTTAAAGGTCATAAAATTGTTGGAATAAGTTAAATATAAATCTTGGACCTTATATATTAACTATAGTGACAATAAAGGGTATATGTTGGATATAAGTATAATTAAATGTTAATCTAAGAAGTTATATTTTATACTACTTTCATTCTTCAGTGAACATCTACATTTTAGTGTTAAGACATTTTATTAACTCAAGCTCTGCGTCTTTAACCACTGAGCCATCATGCCCCTTATTAGCATTTTTAACAATGTCAAAATGACTAAAATGATTTGTGTCAAGATGGTTGAGCTGAAGCCCTTTTATCTTTCCTGAGGAGTCACACACAAGATTAGTGCACTATTTTTGTGTAAAAGTATTAAAGGAATAGTGTTAAAATCTGTGCATATGCATGTAGGTCAGTATTCATAGCTTTTCCCAGGCAAGGTTATAAATTTGATTTTTGATATTTAATCTTTCAAACATCTTTTTTTATATTTGATCTTCTCAGCTGTGTAATAGCTTTGTTATCTGATCATTTCCAGCAGCAAAGGTCAGGCAAAGCTTATGATGAGGCAGCCATTGCAATCCACCTCAGATAAAGTTTATTTATTTTGTGGATGTTTTTATGGTTTTCGTGCTTTTGTTTTATAATTTTAGAATTGTAAGCTGTCTAGCTGTCTATCATCTATCATCTATCTACCTAATTTAGAGACCACCCATCTAACTGATAGAACAACATTTGGAATACTGCAGCCAATTTTGGTCACCATATCACAAAAAATATGTTGAGAGTTTGGAAAAAATTCAGAGAAGAGCAACTAAGAGGATCAAAGGCCTGGAGACTAAAACATACAAAGAATGGCTGTGGGACTTGGGTTTGGCTAGTCTAAAGAAAGAAGAAATAGGGGAGACATGATCTCAGTATTCCAGTATAGGGAAGGCTGCCACAAAGAAGAAGGGGGTCACTTTGTTCACCAGAGCACCAGAGGGCAAGTGCTGATCAAAGAGAGAAGCAACCTGGAATTAAGGAGAAACTTCCTGGCAGTGAGGACAATCAACCAATGGCATAGCTTGCCTCCAGAAATCGTGGGCGCTCCATCACTGGAGATTTTTAAGTAGAGATTAGACCAGTGGTTCTCAACCTGTGGGTCGGGACCCCATTTGGGGTTGAACAACCATTTCATGGGGGTCGCCAAACAAGGCTGTCCGCCATTTTTTCCCCTTTTCTTTGGCCACATCCCTGGCACTCGGTGATGTATAAGTGATTGGGGGGGGTCACCACAACATGGGGAACTGTATTATGGGGTCGCGGCATTAGAAAGGTTGAGAACCACTGGATTAGACAATCACCAGTCTGAGATTGTATAGGTTCTCCTGCCTGAGCAAGGGGCTGGACTAGAAGACCTCCAAGGTCCCTTCCAGTTCTATTCTATTCTATTCTATTCTATTCTATTCTATTCTATTCTATGGGTGGTGTGAATCTTGAATGATCTGGTTCTATTGAGCTAATGGTATGTGTGCCACTTTCATAATAGCACACAATAAGATAAGCAAGTCTAGCTCCAGACAAACCTTCATCTTCTCTAGGAGTATAATTACTACCAGGGAGCCTGGCTGGCTCTCATAGCAATGACTAATAAAATCTCCCTAGAATCAAGCTGAATTCCTGGTGACTTCATACATGCTCATGTAGTTTTCTTGGCAATGTGGTAAACATGATTTGCCTTTGCCTACTTCCAATCCCTTTTTGTATTCCCCAGTGTATCCCACAGCTCTGGCATTCTCTGGTGGTCTATCTTCCAAGTACTAACCAGGCCCAGGCCTATTTCTTCTTCCAAGCCCAGGGTCAGCCAGGAGCTGCCACTAGCTTGAGCATTATAAAAAACAATGTATTTAATTTTATTCTCAGGGACTGATAGGTTGAACACATTATAAATAGAGCATTTAGCAATGTCATAATTATAATTTGCTTGTGTTATATTAGGACTTGCTGTTATTTTTTTTTACTTTGATCAATTTAGTGAACACCAAGTACTAATATTTCCCCTTTCTTCCTTTTTCCCCCCCTCTCCTATCTATGTTTTTTCTAGTTGAGTTCGGAGAATGCAGTCACCTTGGCCAACTGTATGCTGACCGAGATGTGTGGAAACCAGAACCATGTCAAATTTGTGTGTGCGACTCAGGGTCTGTTCTTTGTGATGACATTCGTTGTATAGAGGAAGAGTTACCATGCGCAAATCCAGAGATTCCATTTGGAGAATGTTGCCCTGTTTGTCCAACAGCAACAGACTCACCTGTAAGTTCGACATTTGGATTTAATGCTATTTTCATACCGTTTCATATCAACATTGATTCTGCCTCAGCGCTTAGATGTAAAAAGGGTTCCATTCTCTTGGTTTCACAAGGTATACTCAACTTTAAGAGTCAAATCTTTGGGGTTTGGACAAGGACCTGCTGAAGCAGAGTGCTATTGTTTTTGAGTTTACCTTCCCCAAATATTTTGGTGCTATTTACAAAGGATTTGGTCACTGGTTTAAAGAATGAGATATTAATGTTGGAAAGGGCTAAATAATCTGAGCTATAGGATAACAAAATCCCAGGGTACTTTCTTTTCCATAGGTCTACATTCTATTATCTGTCAGGGAACAAATATTGTCAATAGGAAGAGTTACAACAAAAAGGGTTGCTCTTCCCCTTTCTGTTGTTCTCCCCCTCCCTGTCTCTCCCCATCCCAACATCCTTATCTTTATCTCTGTCTCTCTTCCAGTTAAGCAGGTCGCCAAGGGCGGGACACATTGATTTTGCCAAAAATCTGAGCTGCTGGGACACTTTTCAGATTAGACCAACATCTGCATATAATCTGTTTAAAGGCTGCAGGTTACCCATCCCTGCTCTAAACCACTCCTCACACTCCAGCAGACCGTTTCATGGGGGCCCAGGAAGGTTCACATCCTTCCTTTTTGTATATAACAGAGACCTCTGTCCTTCCTGGGGCGATAGAAGAGAATTTAAAAGTGCCAAAACATCCTGCAGAATATTGTTTTTGCAATCCTTTCCAATCAGGGATCAAGTAAGGAAGTCTCACAGCAATCTCCCAAGAATTGCTCTTCCCACTTTCCCAATGGAAAGATGCTGCTAATGGTTAAGCATTTCAGATCTGGCCTGGACTTGTTATTTAGTTGAATGCCTGGCAAAGATTATGAGTATTTGCTTCCAGCCAAAAGACGTGGATCCAAAGAACACTAAACTCAGTCCCAAGAGAAGGCCCAGCTTGTCCGCAAGTAATTTGCCAAGAGTGAAATTCAACTGGAACTCTCCCATAATGCCTGGATGGTTGGAAAGAAGTTCACACAGAGCACTTGGTTTCTGCTAGTTAAATATGTTCAAAATGTTTGAGTCAGACTTGAGTCAAGATGGAAACTTTTGTAAAATGGAGTATCTCTGTCCATTTTAGGTTTACATGCATACTTTTAACCTTTTACATGCATATTTTTAAATGGAAATTATTTCTTAACTACTATCTCTTTCTTTTATATATCCAGATGTCCCATTGTTTCTTTCCTCACAAAAGTTTGAAAGTCCTGTGGTAACTTTATTCAACTAATAAAATAAAAGTGCTATGCTCAGGTTAACATAAATGGGAATAGGTTTCATTGAATATATGCATCTTACTTCTCAATAAATATATAGAGAATTGAACTATAAAGAGCTCCCCAACCAAGTCTTTCTCTTTTTTAAAGTTTCAGTATAAAATAAAAATACAGAAAAAAGTTAGAAAACCAAGAAAAAAGAAAGTGAAAAAAGCAAAAGTGAGGGAGAAAAAAGTGATGGTTTTTTCAGCACAGCAAAATAAAAAAGCTCAAGCTTTTGTTTTATATTTCACAATATTTCAAACTATTTCTGTAACAAAATTATCAAAACCTAAACTCAAAGTTTTATCCTTTTTATTTCTGAAGAAAATCATTTCCAAATACAAACAAAACTAGGTAATTTGTTCTCTTTAATTAAAACAATTAAAACAATCAGTTTTGCCATTTCTACTAATTTCGTCATCTTTACCATCCATTTTTTCACTGTGGGAAGTAGTATGTCTTTTCATCTTTGTGCATATAAGATTGTCAACATATATAATAACAAAGTCCCTTTTTCTTTTCAAGTGTCAATTTTATATTTATTTGAATGATCTTCTGAATTAAAGTAAAAATCTGGTCCCCGTATTTTTTTTCTTTTTCTTTTGTTTTGTCAGAAGTCCACCAAATATGGTTAAAAGAAATACTTCTTTTGTGGGTGCATTTCCAACATATATTTAAAACTCTTTTATACATTTTTGACAATTAACAACCAGTGTTTCTCAACCTTGCAATTTTTAAGAATCCCAGAATGCCTCAGTTACTGCCCCAACTGTCCATTGCCCAGAGGAATGGATTTCAATTCCCAGAATCCTCAGCAGAGGGAATATAGAAATGGAAGGCTATCACATTTCATAGTGTCCAGTTTGAAGGAAGTCCACATTCTTCAGAAAAGACATTATAAATTAGATTTCACTTGTTAACTTCTATAAATTGACATAATACACTGTTGTTTGTCATTCTTTGCATATGTTCATGAATTTTTCACATAAAAGTGCCCTGAAAGAAGTATAATGCTGTTTATAAAAGTGCCGGTTCACTGTATAATCAATCTTTCATTTGAATGCAAATAATGGAAGTCCACGTGTGAGGAAGACTTTTACAAAGTTTTTTAACAGGCCTGTGTCAGTGGGTAGAGGAAAAGCTTCAAACTACACATAAATGGCTGAGGCCATTTCTCTTCCCATCAGTGCCTATGAGAAAGCATCACACTAAGACAATGGGAGAAAATAACATTTTAGCTGCCCAGCTACTCATAAGGGAGAGTTCTGGATGTCTAGCCTCTGATTAAAGACACTGTGGGTGATACCAAACCTTTAACCAAGGCCATGCCTGCTTGGTAAAGCTGACAACAGCTTCATATATTCCAGGGGCCACGTTAGTTCGTGTGTGCTATATTAGTAATTTCTGGATTAAGACAGCAAAGTCTGCCTTGACTTTTTGGTATGAACTCACTCTGCATGCACATAGACTGTGGACATGTCTGCAAAATTATGGATTTGGACAGTTTTCACATATATAAGACCGCTTGTGTGTAGATCTATAGCAGGATTGGCAATTGCAATCTTGCTACATATGTAGGACTTCAACCTGAAGAGAGAAGAGAGCAGTGCATGCAGTCTGGCCCTTAGCCTCCTAGCTTCCCACTCACCCTAATCTCCAGATATTCAGCCAAGGATCTGGAATGAAGATTAATTCATGGTTGCTTGAACTTGAGTATAGCTTTTCACACAATTGGTGATCTTTATAAATCAGGGTCCTGGATCACATGGAAAGTTTTAACTTTTCCTCATGCAAATACACTCAAGTTCAAATCACCTTCAGACCTCCAGTCATGTGTTGTTGGGGAAAGAACAGATTGGGACTGTGTGTATTGCCTTATGCTCTCTTCACTCTTTTGCTATAAATTATTCAGATCAAGATAAGGAAATTAAAATAAAAGCTTAGACATTTTCAACTTGATTAAGTATGGGTAAACTCTCACCCCTTAGGATCCATCAGGTATACCACAATCTGCTCTCCCAGAGGTTGTGTATGGGGGAATAGTTTTCTCTTGTTCTGTGCACCAGATACCCAACCAAACTATTACAAATTATTCCTGAACTTCTAGAAAATGACATTCCATACTCATGGATTATATTGGAGTTGAAACATATATTTCACCCAAAATGCTATCAATCCCAGTGGCCAAAGCAATGGAAATATTGAGCAGAAAGTGAGAAGGAAAAGGAAAGTCAGCACAAAATTGAAAAAGATGATAACCTTCAATACCGGTTCATTATATTCCTGGGATTAAATTTACATTCTTTATAAAATACAAATTTCTAAGGTAATGTAATATTAGTAGCTGGCAACAGCTATTGAGTTTGTAAGCCATACATGAAACCTATGGTCTTCCCTATGTGGGTGTATTCCAAATCTCATCATGCCCAGCCACCATGGCCAAATGATTGGCATGATGGGAGGTGTAGCCCATGAGGGGTCCTTGAGTTTGCTTGTTTTCTTACAAATGTTTCATTACCCAGACTAGGTAACAGCATGAGGAGTAGCCCAGTTCTGGAGGGTGAGACTTATCCCTGCTTACCCTCAGTCATGTACCAATATATCCATACGATTTCACTCATTTGTTTACATCTTTTGCTTTATTTGAAATTCTAGTTGATTGTTTCAGTTTGCATTTATTTTATATTTAATGCTCAGTCTGACAGTGTTTTGTTTTCCTTTCTAGCCTGATGGAACACGAGTCCAGGGCCCCCAAGGCCCCAGGGGAGAACCCGTAAGTTCAATTAATGTGTTCCTTTGCTTGAACATTGAAATGTTTGAAAATACAATAAGGATGGATAGCTCAATTTACTCTGTTTAGGCAAGATATATTTGTAACATTCCATTAAAACAACATGCATTCGGTTTTTTAGGATTTTTTTTTTTTCATCCCAGAAAATGCATGTTTCAATATGTGTTTCAATCCAATATGCTCATTTGTCTGGGCATTTTGGTCCCTACTTGTATTTTAACAATACAAGAAGGCTAAGTTTTATTTGCCCAACTATCAGTTTGTTGTGAAGAATTTTTCCATATCATGCTATCTTTGTCACACGGCATTTTCTTAGATGGTTTGATGTGAAATAAGGCAATTGGTATGGCCATAAAATAAACTGCAGTTGAAGTAGAAGGTTTGATAAAAGAATATACCAATTCCAAAGACAGAAGTTAATGACATGCCTCTCTTTTCTACTCTATGCTACTCAAGGAATTGTAATTTAAAGGAAGCACTACTCTTGATCTTTCATTGCAGCCAGTACATCTCTGTTGCAAGATTGTAACCATCATGGTGCAAGTTACCCAGTTTTCTGTCTCTCCTGATAACATAAAGTTTGAATTACCACTACACTGTAAGCTGATACCATTCACCATGAAATCATTTTTTCTATGATTCTTAAATTGTCTTGGGTGGAGGATGCTTTTGGCCTTCCTTACAGTCCTGAAGAAGAATGCTTTTATAGGCCCCAGTTTATTGGTCCCATTGAGTACATTAACTGAGCCAAGCACTGATTCTACTTCTTCACCAGACCCTCTTGAGAAAGAGCTAGATGTCATCAGCATTCAGTTGACATTTATTCTAAACTCTAAATGTTATCAGATCAAGGAAAAGTCTCCTAGCGCCACCTGATTTGTTGATCAGGTATGAGTAGAATGACTTTAAGGTTGTTCTGCAGAGAGTAAAGAAGTAGATGGAAACAGAAAGGCTCCATTGTCTAGGCAGAGGGGCACTTTTTAAGTCCAGAATGTCCAGGTAATATTAGGAAGTAGCTCAGGAATATACCTGCCTAATTTACTGACCTATCTGGAGGAGGAGGACAAGATGCAGCACAATCATACTTGAATGATGTATTATCAATTTTAATAAAAAAGTTTTAGCCATCTTGAGGAACTGAATTCAGTCCACTTAATGCTGCTGTCCAGACTAATCTGAACAACATCTTTGGAAGGACACTATAGTGTTTCTCAACCTGTGGTCCATGGACCTCTGGGGGTGTGTGTGACGTTGGCCATGGTCTGTGGCCACAAAAGTTATTTAAAGGGGGTCTATAGTGAAGAAAAGGTTGAGAATCACTGCCCTGTAGCATTGATATCAAAGTTGCTGAAACTTTCAGGATAATTAACAGGATTACACTCCTCCTTTACCATTCCCAATAAGATCACCCAAATGACCAAGGCAATTCCAGTGCCAAAACCAATCCTAAACCCAATTGAAATATATCCAGAAAATAAGTGGATCTAATTAGCCAGCACGTATGATCCAGTACGTATGACAGGGCAGCTGTAGCATCCTATTATTAAAATGATTGCATCAATCCACTGTCAAGGATCCTAGCTCCCCAATTACCTATAGTTAATATAATTACTGTATATTGCTGGGTGTGTTTGCACATATGCATATAAATAGGACTTCAGTATCACAAAGCTCCTTTTGTTTTAGCATTCCATGCATTGCCTAAATAAGAAACCATTTGAGTATTTGTGCACGATATTCATTTTTTCCCACTTTTCTCCTAAAATTATATTTAGGGCACACCTGGTACTCCTGGAAGAAATGGATCCCCTGGTACCCCTGGCCTGCCAGGAGACCCTGGTCAACCTGGCCCCCCTGGAGTCTGCCAAAATTGCCCAAGTTTTACTGGAAATGTAAGTAACATTCTCTCCATCATCTTTTCTTTTGCTAGTGTGTAAAAGTTAATATGCAATGTTTAGCATGCCACTGGTTCAGAAGCACAAAGGGTTTTAAGAAGAATTAGATCGAAGTTTCTCAATCTCAGCAACCTTAAGATGCTGAACTCCCCAGCCAGCATGGCATGGAGAATAATTAGATGAATTATTTTTACAGAAACCCTGCAAAAATTGATATGGACAAGGCAAGAATCATTCTGGATGGCAAAATCTAAATGTTACAGTACATGTTTGCAGTACGTAACTTGGCAACCAGGTTTATTCTCACACGATCTGTAATAATACCATATGTTAACGATAATTGTCTGTAGTTTACTGAAGAGCTAGTTAATATATGATACAAATAACTTTCCAAATTTATGAAGAGGTTGAAAGAGGTGTTCACAGCAAATCTAAATTAAAGGAGATTGTCAAAGAGATATTGCTGTGGCGAATTGGAGAAGCAGTCAATCTGCATGAACCCTGTACTTCCAACCTTGGGAGATCCATGCTTTTGGCCCCTCAGTGATTGCGTGACAGTGGATGATTACTGTTGAAATTCAGAATGCATGAAGTCAGTGGTGGGATTCAAATATGTGAACAACAGGTTCTCTGTGTGGATGCCACTTCCGGAAGTCCATTCTGGGCCTGGGCAACAAAAAAATTAGCTACTGGTTTTGCCAAAGTGGTGTGAACTGGCTAGTGCCCTTACAATAAACTGTGGTTCCTAGACTTCCGTTTTCTTGTCTGTTGACAAGCCCATTTAAAAATGGTAATTGTCTAGCTGTTTCTTCCTCCATGGTGAACTGTATGTCTGGGAAGATGGAGTTCAGTATGGTAACTTTAGGCATAAACAACCAATGAATGGGAGAGGAATTAATTAGCAACTTACCTCAGTCTATGTTGTAAAAGGTTTAGGAAGATTTTAAAATATTGAAATAGAACCGACCTGAATGAACTCACTAATAAATGGGTGGGAATTCCTATTGCAATTTCCAGCATTCTGTATCCCACCACAATTCTTACATTAAAACTCCATGCTGAGGTTCATATGACTTTTGCTTTCTAGAACATGTCCTATGTTACAGAGCTTGACACAGACTGAGTTCTTGGAAAAATTCTACCTCTCCCGATGACTTTCTCTAAACTGGTATCCTGTAGACCTTTCCAGCCAATCAACTTTTCACATTTCTTCTCATTGTACATTTGGACCTCCTCAAACATTGAAATTATTTTTCTCAACAAAGCTTGATCTCATTCCTGGAGGAATGTGAGTGGAAAACTTTGGTCATCCCGATGCAACAATTTCCAGCATCCCCAACCACTGTGTCTAATGGTGGCGATGCTTTGGTTCAGCAATAACTAGAATTATTGCTCATGGATTTTCCACCCGTTGTTCTGTCACTTCTGTCACTTTCCAAGCTGTTGGGATGTAAGGTGATGGGGTTATGTTCCCTAATATAAGCCCTTAAAATAATTGGGGTTTGATTTACCCACCAGCACATGAAGGTGTGGCCTACGATTCCAGACCAATGGAATATCTGATTAAGGGATGGGTATATGTATAAATGTTCCCAGTGTATCAATTGCTGACCTATTCATTTATAACAACTACTTCTCTTTTCAATTTGTTTTCTGCTGCAGAACTTTTCTCCTCAGTATGACTATGATGTCAAGGCTGGACCAGGCCCAGGCGTTATAACTGTAAGATAGTAGCACGATCTTTATGCTACTTAAATGGCTTTTGAAAAAATGTTTTTTCTTTTCTTGCACAGGTTATCTAGCAAACAAATACTGATTTCTGATTGCCTAAAACCAGACTGGATTAAAGCAGTGTTTTCCTTCGGAATCCTGATTAGAAACATGTTGAAACCTCTTATCAAACCAGAGGCTTCCTTGATATTGCTGCCTCACACTTTTGTTTCTTTTCCTTTCTACATTTTACAGCACCCCTCAACTATTTTCATCACCTCCTTTTTTTTTTTGTTCCTGCAATTGTTCCTTTTGTGTTTCTGACAATGTTTGCTCTTCCAATTCTTTTTGTCTAGATGTTTCTCCTCCTTTTTTTCCCCTACAACAGTTTTCCAGGCTATTAATTGTACAGTGTTTGCTATTTCCAGAATGCAGATATCAGTGGGTAATAAATCAACTTGCTAATTGTTTAGCATTCTTTTCACATAGATGAGCTTCTTCTGAAGTTTTAAATTTGCAGCCTCTCTTAATAAATATACGTAGATCAATAATTCCACATGATGTTCCAAAATAAAGCTATGCTCTAACTCGGTTGCAAATGCAGCATCAAGATTAAATGAGGCAATTTGGGATTTGTTAAAAATTCAGTTAACTTGGGATGGTGCTGTTTCTTACATGTTGGTCAATCCAGTCCCAGGCTTTGAGTTGGATTGGGATGTTATAGAGGGCAAAGGGAAGGATCGTGCGAAGGAGTTTTGATTTTTAGAAAAATCGCACAACTCGTCTTCAGATAAATGCCTAAAAAGTAGAGAGATCGTAAGTTTATATCAATGGGCTTTAGGTGCCTACAGTTTTCCATGGTGGTACATTTTAGTCACCTGGGCCTTGAGTAAGCTGCTGAGTTTTTCTACAAAAATAGAAAGCAGCATATAAAAACATTAAAGAAAGCAAACATCAGGACAAAACCTAACTCTGTGTGTGTGTGAGAGTGTGTGTGTGTGTGTGTGTGTGTGTGTGTGTGTGTGTGTGTGTGTGATATCTGCATAATCTGTGAAAAGGGCAACTCACACTGGGCTATTAAAAGTGCTCTCAACAGACTTTCCTGATTGTCTACTTCTCTCCTATGTTGTCCATTTACTGCTGTGTTGTGAATCATGAAATGTATTTGTCTTCTGTTCCTCACAGAGTTTTTCTACTTTCAGTCCATCCATTTATCCATCCATCCATCCGTCTGTCCATCCATCATAATTCATTCATCTGTTTCAAGTTGCTCATCATTTTTTCCTTCTCACAGCTTCTGTTGTTTGTAATCTGCTGCTGGCTTTTACATCTGAGATGTATGAACCAAAAATGCCTTCTTCTTTCATGTCTTTGGGTCCTAAGAGTTCCTGGTTTTTCCTGGAAGGGGGTTTGGGGAATGCATGGCCGGAAGGACCACGGCAACTAGATGCCTTCCAGATATGTTGGATATATAACTTCAGGATGGCAGTGAAGTTATTGAATTTGATATTAAATATCATTGGTAAGCATCTAGCAGAAGAAGACATCTAAGTCATCATATACTACCAGAGGGACTGTACTTAAAAAGAAAAAAAAAATCAGTGCCCCAATATTGAGTCCTCTTTATATTTTCTATAGCATTGTTTTAATGGATCCAAGAATGTGTGATTGCAATCAGAGGTCGTTTCCCTGCATTTCCCCCTTTATAAATCACTTCCATTGGGATTAATGGAGCTGTTTGCAAAATCTCTCACTACCTGAGTTGTTGGGCATATAGGACTCTGCATGGGTATATCAGTCCTGTACATCAGGGGTCTCCAACCTTGGCAAATTTGTGGACTTCAACTCCCAGAATTCCTCAGCCAGCTATGGCTGGTGAGGAATTCTGGGAGTTGAATTCCACAAGTCTTACAGTTGTCAAGTTTGGGGAACCCTGCCATAGATGGTTCAACAGAGTTATACCAAAATTCTGGGACAAGCAATGACTCTTTAATATTTCATTGCTTACCAAGATACAATTGCACACTTCCTGCTTAACAAGAACATATGATAGCCCGAATGAGTTATAAAGCCACCTTATGAAATGAAACCACAATAGCAGTTCACTGGAAGAAATATTTCTATGCTCACACATCTCTTATGTCACTTCTTTATTTATTATTTTTAACTAAGCTGTAATTCATAGAAATTATTTCTAGCTCTCAAAAATATATATTTCTTGTACATTAATTTAAGAAGCCAACAGGTTTTAATCTTTTTTCCCCCTGAAACAATTATAAATAATGAATTATCTTTTAGTAGACTACCTTAAAATATAACTACGTAAGCATTTGGTGACAAGATGTAGGTTTAGGGCTAAATATCATGTATCTGGCATACACATCCCAATTTCCATAAAAATTGCATGCTTTCAATAAAGGTGAAGAGAGTTGGATATTTATTTAATGAACAAGAGTGAACATCTTGCAATCTTATTCAGCAAACTATACAGCAACCTTGGATATGCATTTTTAAAACAAGATAAAGAGAAATAATATGTAGAGAAAACAAAATGGCTAGGTTACTACTCTTTAGAGAGGGAGAGAGAGAGAGATGTCAAATAATTCATGTACCTTTTTCCTAGCGCTCAAAGTTCATAGCCTTATACCTTTCCCAAGTTTTCCCATGAGACAAGCACAGTCCCCAGCTGAGGAACTGATAACTCTATTCAGTTCAATCCGGGATGTGGTACCCATGTCTCACTTCCCAGAATCCATAATTAATCACAGGCAGTGCACAAATGAACTTGGCTTACTAAACAGAATGTTTATCTTATCCTAATGACTGGTGCTGCCTTGTTCATTGCTTTGTGTGTAGTGACTTATTTTTGCCTAACACCAGCCTAGGAAGTGAAACAAATTGAAACTGAACTGAACACTGATTTAATACTAGCATGGTTCAAGTTAATGCATTTCCACTTTTTGCATAACTAGCTTTTGTTACAGTATACACACCGTCCTTTGCACTCTATTTCATTAGAGAATTAAATTTTCATTTTATCTACAATTCATTGTATTATTTTTCAATCTTCCCCATAGGGTGGTACTGGCTTTCCTGGCCCACCGGGTCCTAGTGGTCCTCCTGGTCCTGTTGGTCAGCCAGGTTCACCTGTAAGTATTTGTCATTTCTTTTTCTGCTTCCAGTTATATTTTATACTGTTGGTTAGTTGTGCTAACCATAAGGGCAAAAATGTGCATTAAACTCTAAGGAGCATAGTTTGAGCATGGCAAAGAACAATTAAAAAAAAGTCTGTAGCCTTCTCCTATTTAACAGGGTTGCCAATACATTTTCTTAAAGGATGTCTTCTAGCATAGCTATTAAAGCACCACCCTTTTCCAGAAATAATGCAGAAAAATACAATACAAGGTTTGAGATTTTAAAAAATGTCTGATCTTCCAAGTTTTCAAAAATGCTTAATACCAAGTTGCAAATGATCTTTTCCTCAACTGAGCTGTGTCAAAGGAGGAACTCTTTGTGATAGAGGGCTAGAAAACAGCACTACACAAATTAGTAAACATTGATCCATTGACCTCCTTAACAGAGAAGTAAAGTAGATGCATTGGCTTCCATTTTTAAATGAAGTCCTCTCTACTAAATTTAAGCTTAGGAATGTTGAGTATTTAAAACAAAACAAGGTATTACATCTGGCTCACTGCCAAACTATAGACTTTATTTTAAGACAAGCAGAATTGAGGGGGGGGACTACCTTTGAATCAATCTTGACTCCTAGCAAATGCCTGAACAACTTTCTGAAGTTTTCTTGGCAAGATTTCAGAAGGATTCGCCTGCTTGCTAGGCCCAAGAGAAAGTGAGTGGCCCAAGCTGTCTTTTTTGTGCATAAGCCAGGACTCCTGGTTTCTAGCCTGTTGCTACATCAAACTGGATCTCATCATATTCAATTCCAATATAGTAAGAAGGATTTTAATGCAGCCTACAAGACAGGGATATCAGAGGAAGGTTGATTGCATAGTTGTGGCTACTATCTTGAGTTTTACTGCTCCCCCTGTGGACACTACTGCCATAGAAGGAGGAAGGAGGACAAAAGAAGCATAGAAAACCAACATTCATTTATGTAGTGCTTTATACAAAAAGCAATTACTTATAAATTAAATTATTAATAATTAATAATCCAGAAGCGGTGAATGCTCCAACACTGGAAGTTTTTAAGAAGAGACTGGACAGCCATTTGTGTGAAATGGTATAGGGTTTCATACCTGAGCAGGGGGTTGGACTAGATGACCTCCAAGGTCCCAACTTTTTATTTATTATTATTATTATTATTGTTATTTAATTAAATGAAAATGAAATAGAATAAATTTCTATGGATTCATAGAATGGATTCATCTGGTCCATTTCCCTCTAGTTCCTAAGGATCTAATTAATCAAATAGTGAAAATTTGTTCCATCTGATTATGGATCTAATGAAAGCAACTCACCTTTTCTTCATTAGGGACCTCATGGATACCAAGGTCAACCTGGTGAACCTGGACAAGCTGGAGCTCCTGTAAGTATCAATATTCATTTCTGCAGATCTCATACTATACAGTATATTATATTGTGAGATAGGCTTGTTTGTGTTACAAGTTATCCAGTCTGAAAAGTAGTTTGCTTTGTGAGTTAATGAAATCATATGCCTCTTTGATTGTTGTGTTGTTTAGAGGTCATGGACAATCACATACACATATACACAAATGTGTTTTAAAGCTACAGTTGTGTGTTTACCAGGAAACTTTCTAACAACATGCAAGAGCTTTTTAGAGCTAGAGTTTTAGAGGTAGTCTAGAGTGAAAGCAGAAGTGGCTTACAACGGATTGGATCTAAATGTGATAGGGCAAATGTGATAGGATTGGATCTAAATGTGATTGTAAACTTAATGATTCCAGGAAAGAATGGAATGAGCAGCTAGTTCCATCCTCTCTACAATCATGTTTCTGAAAATATGTCCTGGTAGATTAGAGGGTTTTCCAAAAGGCTGAGTACAACTGGAAGGATAATTTGGTGAAAATCCATTCCTCCATAAGGAGAAGATTCTGTGGATATCAACTTTTTATCTGGAGCGGATCAGATCAGGAATAAACCAAGTTACTATCTTTTTTTAGAAAATGTAACATATGTGCTTTTAAATATATGTCCCCTTAAGAAAAGGAATCATTATGTAACAGAATAGTGTGTTATTCTATACTTAATTAAATGGAACTATAATCAAACAAAGGTTACTCCCCAGCAGGGCCCGCAGCATTGTGATGCTAAACTTCCTTCATATTCAGTGGCTAAACCAATTTATTTTCAAGAATCTGAACTCACTAGAACCACATGAATTTATTTCCAGTATCTGGCTATTGCAAAGGTAGCTTCTCTTCTGAGATAGTTTAATTCTTCACGGCTTATGGGTATGCCATGAATACCATTAATGGGTATTCTTGCTTCACTCTACCACCTAAACCACAGGCTAGACCTGAATTCCTCTTTTAAGAGGAATAGCTGTTTAAAAATCTGCATTTTTCAGATCTCTCCTCACAGGAGCACCTGGATTTTTTTTTTTTTTTTTTTTTTTGCAGACAGCCAGACAAATAAATGCAATGTAAAATAAGGTTGAGAATAGAGAGTGGGACTCGGAGTGGGGGGGGGGGAATCTTTTGTTAATAAGGCATGTTACAACTCATGCTGGGTCAGTAATTTTGACTCCTGCTCACCATTTCTCAAGAAAGAAGTGAAGGTGTCTGCATGAACACACTGTGTTTTGTTCCATAATTTCATTTGCCAAATCCTCAAAAACAGTTTGATCACTTTTCAGATTTGGGGGAGTGAAGCAGGTAGAAGTATAGAAAGATTATATCCTTGAAATACTACCAAAGCCTATTCTGTTGCATAAATATCAAAATATTTAGCATGCTTATAAAATCACATATCTATTTTGATATTGTTGAAAGAGAAAGTGATGTATAAAATCAGCAAACTCAATCACCTGGTAATGGCCTAGCAACACACAAAAAGTACTTCCCTCAGAACTGATTTCTTCTGTGAGAAATTTTATTTCTTTGTCACCATATATTTTTATAATTTTGAGGAGGGGGATGTGCCTTCAAATCAGTATTTGCCATTGTCTTCTTCCTAGAACTGATAGAAAATTACTGACACCAGTCATTCTCTGTCTAGTCTAGAACTCACAGTCACCTCTTTCTGGCCTGGTGCTTTAACCACTACACCAAACTAGCTTTCACATTTATTTATTTTTTTACCAAAAGAACCCCACCAAAAGGAAAGGATCTGTTTATCTTTGGCTTTTGTTTAACACATATAATCAATAGCAGGGAGGAAATGACCTTTGATGTTCTTTTACTTTCCAGGGTGCTCCTGGCCCCCCAGGAATGATTGGACCCCCTGGACCTTCTGGAAAAGATGTAAGTTTTTGATGATCAACACATGAATAAAGAGATCTTTTGCCATGTCTCTCTACAGACACACATACACAGTATAAATGGCATGGTTACAGTTATGCAAACCCTCTCCCTCCGACTTTAATGTTTTCTTTGGGCCACCACACACTTCAACATAGATGGTTGCCTAATGCATAAAAGCAGGTTTTGAGGAAAAAAAGGAAGACTGGGGGGAAAAGGAAGGAGGAGGAAAACCACACAATAACAGAAGAATTCTACTCATAATGCAGGATCCAAATAATTCTGATTTTTTTCACAATCAGGATTTGGCATCTTGATTTTAGATAGATAGATAGTTCTACCCAATTGACCAAACCTCTTTTATATATCTACAGTACACTGAAGGGGAAATCAATTAGTTTCCATCCTGTGAGGCAGTATGTTAAATGTTTAATGTTTTTTTTTCAAAAATAATGTTTCTTTAAAGGTTGTTCTAAATTATTATACTGTAAATTTTTTGAATTGGTTGTATCCTAGCCTTTAGACAGTTTCTTCCATGAAAAGCAGATTAAAGATTTAATGGCTAGATTTAGTTAGAGACATAACTAAAGAGATAAGGCCTGCTGGTTAATAAGCAGCTGCAGTGCTTATTAACCAAGGTAGCCTAATATTTGTGCCTTAGCAAAGACATATTTTTGAAATGGTGTTTCTCATTTGTTTGTTTCTGCTGTTCCTAAGGAAACACCCTTATATTTTCCAAGTTCCAGTTATTCTAAATTAGATTCCGAATTGCTTTTCATAATTGGAAGGGCTCTATTCATTCATGAAGTTCTCAGAATTAGGATAGGCTTCTGCTGACAGAAGAATAAACAGTGATTTTTTTAAAGCAATTTTCCTCAGAGCTTCTTATTTAGATCATATCATTCTATGGGGATAGAGGAAAAATGTAAAAAAGAACATTCCACTAATTCTGTAGAATGTTTTATGAATAGAATCCTAAGTGCATTGCAATGAAATCAAACCAACTAAATCAATATCATCTCATTAGGAAATAGAGAATACTTCAGTTGAGCAAATACCCTACATATAGACATATATTTCTGGCTAATCTTTGTGTGTTCTGTCATCTGTGAATGCATTTCGTTTGCTTTCACTACTCACACATCAACTCATAGCAATCTAGAATACTTCCCATTCCATCATACATAAAACTGCTAGATGATGCAATGGTCAGTTTTCTGACTAAAAAGGGCTCAGGAGATAGTTGTATAAACAACCACTTGTAAGTTATTTCATTATCAGTCGAATGACCTGCCACTGAAATTGCCTATGCACTGAAAGCTACTAAAAAAAAGAAATCAAGAAAGGTTTTCCCTGGATATCTACTGAAGATATCTTGGCTGTGGGGAGGAAATATTCCAGTTGCACTAATTCTTGTAAGCCCAGCCAGCAGTAGCTCCACAATATATAGCCAAAGCTTCTTTTCGCTATTATGTGGTCTTATTTTCTAATTTCGTCTCAGAGTGACTATAGAGTATGTGTGTGGGTGTCTAGATGTAGTAATTGTATATTGTGTCTTTAGGGAGAACCTGGAAGACCTGGAAGACCTGGAGAACGTGGATTACCCGGCCTTCCTGTAAGTAAACACATTTTTTTTTCTTTTAGGATATGTTGGAAACTAACCCTAAAAGGGGCTAAGCCTTTTGAAAAACTCCAATGTATATTTGGATGTTTGTAACCCTCCTCACTCCATTTCAATCACTTGTATAATGTAATTATGTAATTGTGCTCCCTACTGCATCCTTCAGTCCCCGCCATTATCAAATTCAGCCCTATATTGTAGGAAGAAGTCACGACTCCCTACTGTTTCATAACGTGGGGTTAATGGGAACTGGCGTGTTTTGACATCCTTCTCCACCCAGGCATAGCCCCATCTGCCGTTCCCTCCCCAGTAAAGAAATGAACAAATAAGTACAAAAATGCTTTCCTACCTGTATGACATGACAATGAGGTTATAAATAAGATATTTTGTTTTGTTTCTTAAATTCACTCAGCCATATCCAAATCCCCTATGTTCTTGCTTCACTTATAAGATTTATGTTTGTTTATCAATGATATTGATTGCTATTGCTAGTTCTATAGCTATGAGAAAGTTGTAGGTTTTATTCCCAGTTGTAAAAATAGCCATGCTGTTATAATCTTTCTGTGTCTACAGCTTTCTTCTTCACCCATATAGCTTCTCTGTCATTTCATCAGGTAGAAAATGAAAACCTAACTGAGGGTGCCACAGTGACATCTGAAAGTTGTAAACCAAAAGCAATCAATCAAATTAAACATTAATGACAGCAGATGATGCAGAGGACAAATAACATGAAATCACATCTTGACAACTGCTTATCAAAGAACAAAATCATTAAAAAATGTCAACTAATTTGAATTTTTCAAGTATCACAATAAAGCCCTTAATAAACATGGAGGATCCATTAAAATTCAGTTTTGGGAAAAGAGCAATTTTTTTCTGCAGTCAAAGCTGGAGAATATTGCTTTTAGATCTACTGAAAACAGTCTTGGTATGTCCACTAAATACATGGACTCCTTGTAATTGAATATTCAGAAATAATCCATTCCTAGGGTTAGGTTTTTGAAATATTTATGTATCTTTTATATTCTGAACTATTGGAATCTTTCCTCCTTTTGGCTTTCTCTAGTTTGATTCACTAGATAATTCCTCAGGTTTAAGCCATGCTTAAACTCTTAGCCTATTTCCTGATCATCATAAACTTCCAATGCAATTCTTCTCATCTTATTATATTCTCTCTCTCTCTCTCTCTCTCTCTCTCTCTCCCTCCCTCCCTCCCTCCCTCTCCCTCTCCCTCCCACTCTCTCTTTCTCTCTCTCTCTCTCTCTCTCCACCCCCCCTCTCTCTCAATTTAGGGCCACAAAGGGCCTTCTGGAATGCCTGGAATGCCTGGAATGAAAGGTCATAGGGTAAGTGTTCAACATAAAATATTCTATTTTAAAAAATTAGGGAATTATATCAACACAGCTAACTCTGGCTCAGGCTTCTTCAACTCAATGCTCTTCAGATTAGGTTGATTAAAGCACTTTCTATAGAATTCTGGTGGGCATTTTATCAGAGTTGAGGTACAACCCATCAGAATGACACCATGTTGGATAAAACTTACAATAGCTGATGAAACAGGCATGTTACGGTCAGAAACTTTTCTAAAGTAATTGCTGAAGCCAATGAAATGGGTTGGGAGAGGATAAATCAGTGTACATAGTAAAATTAGGGGTCATTGCTAATAGATAGAGCTAGCGAGGCATATCAACATTCCAGGTGTTCAGTATTTTGATTTATAAAATTTCATATTTTTAAAATGTTATGTTATTATATATTTTATACATAATATTATTATATATTATATATTAATCTATTATATATTATTATATATTATATATTTTCTAAATTTATGTTATTCATGTACTTATGTACTTATTTGTAAATATTAATATTTATTATTATTAATAATAATGTTATTTACATATTATCTCTTTTTTTTCTTGCATAAAGGGTTTTGATGGAAGAGATGGTTCCAAAGGTGATGCAGGTGCTCCTGGTCTAAAGGTACCATTTATATTTATTACTTGTGCAGAAGAAGACAGCTTTATTCAGATAAAATTCTTCTTTAGAAGATGTTAAACAGTTCAATCTCTTGGGCTTCTCAGAATATTTATCAACAGAACTGAATCTGAATTTTTCTTTTCCTGGTAATGGCTCTCCCATTATATTCATGCCTCACTTGCCATGACATCTGAAATGGGGCGGGGTTTCTACCTCTGAGGTCAAAACTTTTCTTCCAGTATCAGACACCTAAATCTGATTTACCCTGAAATATCAGGATTATAATCTAAGTTCAGTTCACAAAATTTATAAATATATGACTTTTTTTTTACATTTCCTTTTGCCCATTTATCTTCTCTGATCATCAATTTTTCTGAAGGCTTCCTTATACCCATGTGTGAACAGTGAGAAAAAAGTACTTAGAGATAAGGGTTAGGATTCCCCTCCTTCCCCCTTCCCCCACTTCTCAAAGTATAGTAACCATGTTCCATCCCAAAAAGTCGATTTAAAAGAGATAAATGAAATATTTCTTCACTTAGAACATATTTAACAAGATGATGGACAACTCTGAAAACAAGACTAATTAAACTGATCCACTAGGGATTGCTAATCAGAATGGCCATATAGTACCTCTAATCATAATTTTACTCTGCTTTTGGCTGCTAGTTGCTGGAAATCTTATGTTCTTCTTAAATTGAGTTTGATAGAGAAGTACCACTGCATATTGAGCTGTCCTAAAAAAAATCATGTACATATCATTTTTTTTCTTCTCATGCAATTACTCTATAGACAGATGCAGTAATGTCATTCTCATTATTTGATGAAGCATAATAGGTTATCTTCAATTAATTTGTCTCTTCACTGCCCACCACAATGTTCCCAAAAAGATCACTCAGTTAGGAAATTGGTAGTCTGCTTGTTTATTCATCTATAAAATTTTCATGCCACATTTTCATTGATAAAAATTATCTCTGTAAGGAGAATTATACAATATGTATAATTTCAGCTGGTGCAAACTGACCTTTCTTCTTGGTACTGAACTGGTCTGATCCAGAAAGAGATTCAAATATGGAAATTTGCTTTAGAGTACTTAAGTTCTTGCTTAATTAGGAATAGAAATGTTCATTATTGGCCAAGTGTGACTGGAATTTCTTTCCAGTGCATATGCTCTCAGTTACATACAAACAACAAAGTGGTAAGTCAAAGATCATAAATCATAAGACACAATCACAAATCATAAGATACAAACAACAAGAGATAAATTACAAGCTACCAATAGGAGAAGATAGTAGGAAAGTTGAGAAGATGAGAAAGATGAATTTAGAGCAATGATGTAAAGGTGACTTGCTCAAATGTGGAATGATAAAGACGATGTTTTGACCAATATTCCCTTTATCACATAGGGTGAAAATGGCCTTCCCGGAGAAAATGGATCCCCAGGACCAATGGTAACTTTCTGAACAATATTGTGGAAAGTCTGTGGGAGAAAACAACAACAACAGAATTATTATCAATCTGTGATCCATTTACTCATCCATATGGAGAAAGATCTATAGAACTCTGTGATCATCTATTAGGTAGTAAGTGATAAAGAGACAGGTTTTATATTTTTACTCTGATTGGAGACATTTATCACATATTTAGTAGCAAGTAAGCCTAGCAATAATAAAAGTATGGCTGAGCTGAATTTTCAAATAATTTTTCAGGATACCCATTAGTGATGCCAATCCTAGGGATAAGATCACAGACACCTGAGGCAATTATAGGTATCTTGATCATGCATTTGCCTAATTCATATATATAGCCAGAATGGCAATGTGAAGCATGAAGCAGGCCCCATTTTACCTTACTGCACTTTCTGATTTTAAATTAATCTTTCTTGCCTAAATCACTTTTCTGATTTGAAGAAGTATAGAAAAGAACTATTTAAAAATGAGAGGGGTGGGGGAAACCATGTTATATATGAAACATCCCTGATTTCCTCAAATGCCTAATTTGACCCATGGTTGATCTTATGATTCATCTGTTATGTTTCTTTAATGAAAGTTTTACAGTGGTGAATGGGCTTTAGATTGCCCTTCCTTCTCTAAAAGGCTTGTATGTTTCTTAGGGACCCAGAGGTCTGCCTGGTGAAAGAGGACGAGCTGGGCCTCCAGGAACTTCAGTAAGTAGTTGGGTGAAAGTTTAATATAAACTCTTATTATCATTGCCAATTTTGATTCTCTGGTATAGATTAGCAATGGACTCTAAGAATCCTGGATGGGACAAGATAATAGAAGTCAAATTTGGTCTATTATCTTTGGTTTCTGTGGTTTGCTCTAGCAAAATCAGTCTTTTTGAAGACATTTTACAATTCACTTCAAGGGCACCACTTTGCCATTTCTGATTCTATTATTTTCTAGCAGTGTGTTGTCCATATTTATAGTTTGGTGTATAAAAACTGGGAATTTTTGGTTTGCTATTTTTGGCTCTTATATGTTCCTCCTTTGCCCCATATTTGGCCTGCATGCTCCAGATCAAAAAGCCTACCAAAATATAACCCCAGTTGAGGAAATTTAGTGGTAAGACATGGAATCCTTTTCACTGAACAGTTCTTTTTAGATCTGAAAAAAAATGCAATTAGCTAATGAATATATAATTAGATGACATAGAGTTTTCCCCCATATCTGTATATTTTAGTACATATGTTTAAGGTGTTAGGGTTCCATATTTGATTGTCAAAGAATTGTAATGCCGATAAATAAAAAAGTTCAGGGAAGTTGTGAAAGGTTATAGCTTATTCATTCTTGTAAGCTTTGTGATATTGCTGAGTTATTTTTTAAAACACTACAAGCACCATTTGTTTGTTTCTAATCAATTCCTGTGTATTTTCAGGGTGGTCGTGGTAATGATGGTAGTCCTGGAGCAGCTGGCCAACCTGTAAGTATATTCCTTCTTTCTCAGGTATTCCCCATTCCTTCCTTTTCTGATTTTCCCATACTGAAATTCTTGACTGAAATACAAATTATGGTCCTTGGATCCCCAAAATTCCATTTGAAACTTTATACTTGTTATATTTTATACCATAACAATAAGCCAAGCTAAGGTTGAATTGGGCTGAGAAAGAGTGACTGGCCCAAAGTTGGCTTTCATGTCTAAGGCGAAACAAGAACTAACAGTCGCCTGATTTCTAACCTGGTACCTTAACTGGCTCTCAAATAATATTTAAAATAAAACAATGTTTTAAAATATTATTCCTCCTACCTTTCCATTAAAAATGTCAAGGTGGCAAGCTCTTGAGACCTGGACAGTAGATAAATTTTTTATAATAGATAAATAGATTTATAATACACTAAAATGTGCAAATAAAGCAGAGAAAATGTCAGAGATGAAGTTTTCAACTTAGAAAATCCAATGCTTTTGAAAAAAGAACCCTGTAATAAATTAGCAGATAATTAGAATTTGGATGGAAGTTCAAGAACTTTGTCATTGGTCACCTTATCTTAGAGGCTCCACAAGTCACTCTAAGAACAATAAGTCATGTAACTAGAGCAGTGGTTCTCAACCTTTTTAATGCCGCGACCCCCAACCGGTCGTAAGTCAAGGACTACTCAACTGGAGCAGCACCGTTTGCAGAATGGGACTTTTGGCGGGCTCAGCAGGGCAGAGACAGCCTGGACAATTCCTATTGGCTTTTGAAAGCCAATAGAATTAGACTCTATTCAAGAGAGTCTATTTTATTGCCTTTCAAAAGCCAATAGAATAAAAGGGAGTAGCACAGCTAAGGAAAAGGGGGGAAAATGGCGGACTGTGTTGTTTGGTGACCCCCGTGAAGTGGTCGTTTGACCCCAAATGGGGTCCCGACCCACAAGTTGAGAACCACTGATCTAGAGATACATTTTCCCCCACACAGAGTCCCAGGTGTGTTATACATGTCTGTTTCACAACACAATTTTATACTGGTTGTCTCAATTACAAGAGCCTTTTTTTCCCCTTGTTCGAATATGATGTAATACAAAACAACATTTGTTTTTTTTTTTACAGAAATCACTGGGTTTTTTTTTCAAGTAATCATATCTCTCTTCTTTTTTCTTCAGGGTCCACCAGGCCCTCCTGGACCTTCAGGATTTCCTGGTACTCCAGGTTTTAAGGTATTTTACTACTGCGTGTACAAAAAGAGATTGAACTGACGCTCTGAAAAAAAGACATTTCATATATTAGCCTGTGTTTTATGTATATTCCTTTGAAAGGAGGGAAGGAAGCCACTGTTACGGTGGAATATTGACGTGCACTGCTGATGCTGATACCCCCTTAATTCTTTCTGCCCTCTGCTATTCTACCCTCTGCTAGATACCATTCTATGCACAGGGCACCAGCAAGAATATTTGAGATTTCATTGGGATAATGCTTCTTCTAAGGAATATTCATTAGCACATTGCCAATTCCTCCCTCCCACAAACCTACCATCATCACCTCAATAAAGTTGTCCAGTTCTGACATATTGTTAATTTGATTGGTCTAACTCTTCTGCTTCACAGGGTGAAACAGGTCCTCCTGGTTCTGCAGGCTCTAGCGGACCTCCTGGACCAAAAGGAGATGCCGGTCCTCCTGGCCAATCTGGGGGTGCTGGCCCTCCTGTAAGTATATGTTCCTTATAAAATGATGCGTTAAGTCTAATTAGATTTTAGTAAAGTGTATTTTAATAACATCATAGTATTTCAAAAATACATGACCTAATAAAAGCTATCATCTTTTGTCAATAGGGTCCTGGAGGACGTGATGGAAATCCTGGTGCCAAAGGTCCTCCAGTAAGTGTCCCAGGCAGAGTGGTATATGCCACTGCATTTTCCTAAGTAACGTGCCTGTTGGCTCAAATCATTCAATGGTATCTTTCTGAGCACATGTTGGTTTTATCCAGGGTGCTGCTGGAATTCCTGGTGCTCCTGGCCTAAGTGGAGCTCGTGGTCCTCCTGGTCCTTCTGGTGTTAATGGAATCCCTGGACAAAGAGGTCCATCTGTAAGTCATCAGCATGCTATTTTTTTATGTCATGATTACATGAAAAACAGATTCAGTTATACACAAAATGTGCAATATCTTTTGACAGAAGGACAGGATTTGGGTAGAGTGAAATAATTCCCGGGTTTCAAATTTTTTCATCTTTTCAATATGTGGAGATTGTCAACCTTTTCTTCGTGTTATGCTAGTTTGAGAATCTAAAGCAAGGGATAACCAGGAGTTGCAAATATTAGACAGTAAGAAAATATTTTAAGAGAATGACATGCCGAGTAAGAATTTATAACATTTATAGCTGATCTTGGAGAGGAGGAGCAATATATATGTCTGCTCATTTATATATTGAAGCAATAAACGTGCAAACGTGGACCAGATATTGACCCTGAAACACCTCAATTTAATAAAGGAGATGACTTAGATCTAGAGATGGTCTTCAAGTAAGAGTGCTCCCTTGTGTATCTTCCTCCCTGTATCATTCAAAAGGGTCTTATGTTTCCTCCTATGTGGAGTATTCTGCTTCCAATCTTCTATCAGGAGAAATATTCCAGAATAGCATGGAGTAAAGGAATAAAATCAGAACAAGGATCCAGAGAGGAAGTAGGATTCTATCCAGGCCTCAGCAAGCTAGCTACAGACTTCAAAACCTGAATCTAGCAAAAGAGTTTCTATTTCTTTCACTAGCTAAAAATAATATAGGATGGTCTGCTATATTGGCAATATAGAACAACAACCAAAGAATGTTGCATGTTTTTTTTATCTTTAGATTATAAATACACATTGCTGTTACAGGCTATACATTCATTCTAATATCTGTCTCAAAACATCTTACATATTTGTACGGTTAGCCCAGGGGTAGGCAACCTTGGCTCTTTTATGACTCATGACTTCAACTCCCAGAATTCCTGAGCCAGCCATGCTGGCTCAGGAATTCTGGGAGTTGAAGTCCACAAGTCATAAAAGAGCCAAGGTTGCCTACCCCTGGATTAGCCTATCATCTTCATCCCCATACTGAGAAATCTATCAGTGCTTGCAGAAGAATTCACAGCATAACAGTATTGATGCATTTTCTCATTGTGCTCAAGATTCTTTGAATCCAATTCTAAATAAACTCTTGTCTTTGGTTGTAAGCAAGGTTCTAATCTACTACCAAGGTCTGTGCTTGATGAGACTGAACAAATCAGATTTGACAAGACAATTCATCAGTCTTGTGTTCTTTTTAGGGTGAACCTGGTAAAAATGGTGCAAAAGGAGAACCAGGAGCAAGAGGCGAACGGGTAAGTATTGGTTTATATAGCTGTAGAATATCTGGGTGGGACTGCCCTGCCCTTTTTACTAAAATAGAATAAACCTCAATTTGAAAAACTGCATTGTTCTGGTAAAAGTTTATCTGAAATGTCAATTAACTGTTTGATGCATTTTGTTGCAAGGGTGAAAATGGCACCCCTGGTGGTGCTGGTCCTCCTGGAGAAGAAGGCAAGGCAGGAGCACCTGGTCAACCTGGCACTAATGGTGTACCTGGAGCTGCAGGAGAAAGGGCAAGTATTCTACCCACTTGGTTTTAGACAGGAACACAAGGCAACTCATGATGGTCAACACTCCTTTCCCAGATACATTTGTGTCTAAAACAAATCAAAGCAGTGATATTATGCACTATTTGTGTGCATCAGTTGTGACTAAATTGCTAATGAAATCAATGGGATTAACTCAGAGGAATCAGAATTAAAAGCAGAATAATTATTGTCCCCCAGAAAAAAAGCAATGAGATTGTTAATGCTAATAGAGAAAACTCTCTTCATTATCATTATTATTTTCTTCCCCTACACTCTAGAAGCAAAATTTCAGTTTGTTAACAAGGGTATAATCTTCAGTTATTCTAGCCATTAGATCCCAGAATAATCATCCATAAGAACACAAATCAAAATATGCATTGGCTTCTCAACTTCATTAGCTTTGGAAATTCATCATGAGTTCTTTTCATTTTGGACTCCAAAATAAAAGTATCCGTGTTTGTATTTTTCAGGGTTCCCCAGGATTCCGCGGTCCTGCTGGTGCTAATGGAGCTCCAGGTGAAAAGGTGAAGAATATCAAAAACTTAGAGTTTTTGGTTTCTAAACAAATTTACTATTTTTTGCTCAGATCATAGTATGATTTGTTTCCCTCTTTCCTTCACACCCTTGTATGATCGTTTTGTCCCATGTCATTTAAGGGGCCACCTGGTGAGCGAGGTGGTCCAGGCAGTACCGGTCCAAGAGGAGTTCCTGGAGAACCAGGACGGGATGGCAGCCCTGGCCTGCCAGGAATGAGAGTAAGTAGAAATCTCCTGGGTGTAGAATACAATGAGACATTATTTGGAAAGATGCTACAAGAACAAAAGGCCAATACACTCCCTTATTAATGATCAGACACCATATTTCCAGATTGTAAATACTTGTTACATTTAATGGAAACATCTCAAAACCAGTTCTGAGATACAGTTATATCTAAAAGATATCTGGCTTTCTTCATAGTTAATAGTTCACTGTTCCCTTAAGAATGCAACTCTAGAAAGATTGAGGTATAGCTCTCAGAGAATTTGAGAGGCTGGGAAGGAAAGGGCATTAAATATAGGACCAGGCCATAGTCTTTTGAAATGGTTTTAATTTGAGTTAAATGTCAGTGCATAGTCAGTTGGTTTAATTAATAGCTCATTCATTATTTTTGGTAACAAAGGTCCCCATATACAGTATTTCTAAAAGGCAAAATCTTTTAAAGGATAGGATAAATTGTGAAGCCCTGCTATATAGATTTTTGAAGCTTGTAAAGAACTGTACCTCACTGCGGTAATGTAGTGAGAAAATGGTCATACCACTTCTTTCTTTTTGCTGTTGTAGGAAGAAAAAAAAAATCTAATGCCAGGAAGAACATATATAACCTAGCTTGGTCCTTTCTGTGCTAGATGTCCAGATTTATTTAATAATTTATTTATTTATTTTACTTGCTTAACTTTTTTTCCCATAAACTTAAGATGGCTAGAAATGGTCAGGAAAGCTTTTTTCTTCCATCATTGTGAACTTGATGCTTGAAAAAAAAAAACCTTATCTAAATAAAGTTTTTATTAATATTACAGTAAAGAAATAACTGTAATATTCCTGACTTACAGTAACTATCTTATTTATATTCCTACTTTATAGTATTAGCACCAGTTATTTCTGAGTGTATGGATGCCTTTCTTGATTTCTCTAATTAAAGTATCTGAAACTACTTTTTCCAACCAGTTCCCTTTATCCCCATTTTGTATTTTTAATTCCTAGTCACATAATAAAGTAGGGTTAGAAAAGCTATTGCTTTTAACATGCACTTATTACATAATAATTATTATTTTATTATTATTTTCTTTCTTAGGGCTTAACAGGAAGTCCAGGTGGTCCAGGAGCAGATGGAAAACCAGGCCCTTCTGTACGTCACTATATTCTGTTGTTTTTATCTGATGCTACTTTTGTTACTGTGCCTTGCCTTGATGTCACTTTACGACAGGGGTGTCAAACTGCCAGCCCACAGGCTAGATGCATCATGAGGAAACTGCACCCACCCCATTGCTGGCAATGGGGAAAAAGTTCCAATACGTCGTGTGTCGTCACGTGACGTTGCGAGTTTTACATGTCTGCTTTATGAGCATGAATTGAGTTGCTTACTTCATGTCTTGGGGAATTATTTACAAGCATTTCATTGACTATTTTATTTAATGGCTCTGAAAGCCTTTTTACATAATCCAACATCCAATATTACCAAAAGTGCATTAATTTCTGCTTCTGAAAAAAAAAATCAATTATATTTGAAGTGACCAAATACAATAGCATCCATCCATCCATCCATTTCTTCATTTGTTTCTTTGATATGCCGCACATTTGTGAAAAGGTCAATATAAAAACTTATTAAAATTAATAAATCTTAAATAAGAACTAAAAACCAAAGGGATGGATTGCAGGGGAGAAGGATTTTCTCTTTTACCCCATCAACCATCTCCAATGAAAAGTCCCTGCATCAGGGCATCAAACCTACTGGCAAATCCATGTTTTAAAGGGTGGGGGCAGATCTGATCTCCAGCAGCAGAATGTTTTACAGCAGGGGTGTGAAACTGAGAGCCCATGGGCCGGATGTGTCATGTGGAAGCTGCATCCACCCCAGCTTCAACAAGAGGAAAAAAGTCACGATACATCGCGACACATCACATGAGGCGGCGAGTTTGATACCCCTATTCTACAAGGCAGGGGTCACAATGAAAAAGTCTGTTCTCTTTGACCCCACAAGGACTGAAATTCCTTGACCGACAAGATCTGTATCAATTTCTTTCTGCTACACTGAATGGGACAGGGTCGATTCCATTGTTTAAACATGTTTATGAATATTTAATCTTAGTGATATTCCAGTGTTTTCTTATATTTCTTCCTCTCTTCACCTCTATGACTTTCAGGGATCACCAGGAGAATCAGGGCGGAGTGGTCCCCCAGGCCCAGCAGGTCCACGAGGTCAACCAGGTGTGATGGGCTTCCCTGGTCCAAAAGGCAATGAGGTTAGTATAACCTCATTGTTATCCAGACCACCCTTGGATCCAGGATGACATTGTTTTATTTCTCTTTGAGATGTCAACTCTTTGTTTATCCAAAGTAAACCTGAACAAGGAAATAAGCTCTGAAGAGTGTATGAAACTAATAAGAAAAATATCCAAACATGTTACTATCAGCAAGTTAAATTGAAGCTGCCTTTCAACTCTATAATTTTTGATGTATAATAATTGGTAAGATATTAAACTGCAATATTTTATATTTTTAGGGTTCACCAGGTAAAAATGGGGAAAGAGGATCTTCTGGACCACCTGGTGGACCGGTCAGTAAATAATTTATTTCACTCTTTCACATTTATACACCCACATATACGATTCTATTGACCTTGTAAACTAATCACTGTTCCATTATTTAACAGGGGCTACCTGGAAAGGATGGTGAATCAGGAGCACAGGGACCCCCAGGACCTGCTGTAAGTAATAGGAACATAAAAGTTATGTATTAATACTAACTTACTATATCTTACATTAATAAACTATATTACTAAAGAGTAATGGATGCAAGCAATGAATGATAATTTTGCATTAACGTATTACTCATTATATTGTTTACAGTGATGGGAAGAATTACATGAGCCCATTCTTTGATCACAGGATCTGTTATTGGAAAGCAATACTTTTCAAAGTACTGGGTTAGCCTAAATCCTTGAAAATTAGATTGAGTGGAATGGAGCACTGACTATTGTAACTCTACAATATTACATTAATTTGTGTTTTCTGTATTATGGTTTAATTAATATTGCATTGACTGGTGTGCCTTTAGGGCTTTTGAAAGTTTCCTATCCAGGAACAGAAACTTATTTCTGCTCAGGACAAATGAGCTAAGGAAGGGGTTATTGGTGGGATGGAAAACCATGAATGATGTTCTTCTTTTTCTAGGGAGGTCCTGGTGAAAGAGGAGAGCAAGGAGCAACAGGCCCACCCGGATTTCAGGTATGCTGATATTCTTCAATGTGTGCTTTCTAAATAATGCATTCAAACCGGAATCAAGAAATTGGTGAAGAAAAGTAGAAATTTAAGGTTGGCTGATTTCATCCACCAAATTATTTCATGTTTTATTATTTATTTATTTAACGTATATGATAGTTCACAATAAAAAGTGGTAACACTGAATGCTATAATCACAACGATGACATAAGTGATGTTAACGGCTTGACTACGATGTGCTATTTCAAATTTTGAATAAAACGTCAAGTATAATAAATCTCTATTTCTGATATTTTTAAATGCAATCTTTAAAGCAGGGAGGAATATGTATTAAACAATAATTGCATTTCCCCTAGGGTCTACCTGGTCCTTCAGGAGCTCCCGGAGAGAGTGGGAAACCAGGAGATCCAGTAAGTTGTCCTTTCATCTCTCCCAAATATGAGTAAAAAGGATAGGTAATGCAACTTAATGTGGAGAGCAATATAAATTATGATCCTAGAATTATGACCTTGTTCTGAAACATTCTTTCTTTTCCACAAAAACTAATCTCTATAACTTTACCCCAAAATTCAGCTTTAAAGAAAGTTCATTACTTATTATTTAGATGTAATTCCAGCTATTTTTACAATAAAGTCTTACAGAAATCAAAGATATATTTCCAAAGCTTTTCTGTCTCTCTCTCTCTCTCTCTCTCTCTCTCTCTCTCTCTCTCTCTCTCTCTCTCTCTCTCTCTCTCTCTCTCTCTCTCTTTTTTTTTTTTTTCTTCTCCTCCTTCAGAAGTGGCTATTATTTGAGCTAAACTCAGTGGAACTTATAATACATTGGAAGATAAATGTTGAGTCATTGACATCTCAGGTGGAATTTTTTGGCTGCAGCTTGAATATTAATGAAGATGTCACCCTTTAAAACATATAAATAATAATCAAATTGCTTTTGTTTCACAACAGGGCCCAAAAGGTGAAAATGGAGTTCCAGGACTTCCAGGAGGAAAGGTAAATTTGGTACTAATCTGGTCACATAAAAAAATGTGAACACAAAGAACTGAAACAAAACTAAATGGTTTTATTTCTATTAGGGTGAAAATGGCATCCCAGGTGAACGAGGCACACCGGGACCTGCAGGTCCCCCTGGAGCTAGAGGTGGTCCAGGCCCTGCTGGCCCTGAAGGTGGAAAAGTAAGTTGAAATTATAGCACTTTGTATATATCCTAAATCAGGGGTAGACAACCTTGGCTCTTTTATGACTTGTGGACTTCAACTCAGGAATTCTGGGAATTGAAGTCCACGAGTCATAAAAGAGCCAAGGTTGACTACCCCTGTCCTAAATTATGCTCCAGGTACTTTTTTTTCCAGGTGTCTTAATAATTGATTTGGAAACTATGATTTTAGGGCCCTGGTGGTCCAACTGGTCCTCCTGGTGGTATGGGGCCTCCAGGATTGCAAGGAATGCCAGGAGAGAGAGGAGCTTCTGGAAATCCTGGACCCAAGGGAGAAAAGGTATGTTCTTTTATATTTCCCTTAATAGCCAGATAATACCATCCAAAATTATGAAGAGCAGCTAAACTAAGACTTACTATCAAGCATTAGGAAGCTTAACTAAGTTGATCTAAACTTTTGAGATTTTTATTTTATTTATTTATTTATGAGACTTATATACCGCTTTAAGTGCGAGCACTCTCTAAGCGGTGTACACCAGTAAGCAATGTATATATATATATATATATATATATATATATATATATATATATATATATACATTGCCCCCAACAATCTGGGTCCCCATTTTACCTACCTCGGAAGGATGGAAGGCTGAGTCAACCTTGAGCCGGGAAGATTTGAATCACTGACCTGCTGAACACAGTCAGCTAAAGTGGCCTGCAGTACTGCACTCTAACTGCTGCGCCACCTCGGCTCATCATACTTATTTATAAAACCTGATGCCGGGCAATATGTATAAGTACTAAACTAGATCTCCAGGTTGCATAAAGTCCATCTCCTGTATGTTGAGAAGAGTAACTCCAACTGAAGTTACTGAATTAAGGGAAGAATGCTTAGAATAGGGCTAGCGAATAATTAGGTTCACATACTTCAGAAGTATAAGTTGTTAATACTTTAGTCTTTGTCCACTGAGTCAATGTCCTGCTTCATGTCTCCCTGATGATTGTATTTATTTAATGCTCTTTATTATATAATTTTAAATAAAGACTTAAACATTGCTTTTGGGGGGGGGGGTTGGGAAAAGCTTATCAACCTAACTGCATGGTACAACAGCTTGCTGTTGGTTAGCTTATTCGCAACGTATCTGCTCTTTTCTTTCATTTGGATAGGGAGAGCCTGGAGGCAGAGGAGGAGATGGTGTACCTGGTAAAGATGGATTACGAGTAAGTAGAATCTGCCATTTGTTTGCTTCGACTAATTAATAACAGAACCAAATTGGTTCCAGTAGAGCATATAGCTTTTTTAAGGTTTTGCATTTAATATGATAGCCTGGATATTTTTAGGCATGCCAAGGGCTTCTAATCCTGAGGAGAAGTTTAGAAAATGTAGTTGATTGATTGGTTGCATCTATTTCCAGATTATTTATAGCAATTCCTTCCTTATCTAACCAAGATTAAGGGAGAGGCACAACAAAACCCTTATCTCTAGAGATGCTTGAGTCTGAAAATTCAGTTTCTGCCTCAACTCTTGGTGAACATAGCCTTCCAAAAAGGCACATGTATTTTATAGTAATTTTCAGTAGCTCTTCTCTTAAAGGGTGCAATTTTGTAACTATTTTAATAAACATTTTTCTACAGCAATACAAATAAAATTAAAAATAATCTAGTTGACCTAACTTTTCTCAGATCTACCAAGATTCTTTGAAGAGGCAGATGGGTTTATGAATTCTCCAGGACTATCACTCGGATGAGAGTAGTTTCTTGACGAGAATACAGTGAACAGAATGAAAAGAAGTAGAATAAACCTATAGGCGAGCATGTAGAAAATGGATGGACTGAGCTACAGTGATGATGGATGTAACATTAAAAGAACTGAAGGACTAGGTTAGGGGCATATTTTCATAGGGAAAATCTAGCTATGTGATTGCTAAGAGCATTAAATTGACCGCACATATTCCAATCAATAACCAATCAATCATATACAAGTTTATTCTAAGGCTCTTTTAAAGTTTAGCTTTTCCTCATCTTTCAAAGAGCTAGAATTAGAGTTCCTGAAACATATGTGTGTCGGGGAGGGGGGGGGGAAATACAGAAATATTTGCTAACCAAAACAGATTTTGTTGTTATTTCATTGAATTTATGCAATGGCAAATTGATTAACACAGGTTAAAGAACATCATGAGGCTCTATATCTGGTTCATTTTAAAATTCTTACGAATGTTCTCTCTGCCTAGCAAGTTCAGCATAAGAGGAGACAGATTGGATTAGGAAGGCAAAACTGAAATAAGCAGAAATTTTCAGTGCAGGGAACAGTATTCTGAATGCTTTTGCATTGCAGTACTTGTTGATTGATGACCCCATGCTTCCACTGATTCTTACTTTTAACATTGTAGGGGCCTGTAGGATCCATTGGGCCACCTGGTCCATCTGGCCAACCTGGTGATAAGGTATACATTTCATTCATATTTTAATGTAAATTAAATTCATTTTGAAGAAAAAGATTCTGAAATAAAAGCTTTCTTTCTTTCTTTCTTTCTTTCTTTTCTAGGGAGAACCTGGACCTGCTGGACCCCATGGCCCATCAGGTCCCCGTGGTGGACCGGTAAGAAAATCTTTCAAATACACAATCTAATTATGTTTGTAGGTGTTTTGTCCTTTTCCTAAAAATTTTCATACAAAGGTTTTTTTTTTTAATTTGAATACATTAATCTTATTTGGTCTGCAGCATTCTGGAAGGTTATATTGCTTTCATGATAAGAGTAACATGCTAGAATACTCTTGTTCTTTTCAACTTATCTAGAAATTATATTTACATTTAAAACATTAATACACTTCATATTATAGATAATTTAGAGCAAATATCTATAATTAAGAATATTTATTCAGATCTCCAAAGTTGAATCTTCAGTTAACAGCATAAAATTTTTCATAACTAATATTAATTAGAAAACAAGAGTTTCAAGCTCTTACTCCCCTTCTTCCTAAGATTGTTTGGGATGATACACTGTCACTGTTCCATTAAAATCCTCAAAGAGGAAATGGACAAGTAAACACATAAATAAAAATAAGATAGAAAGTGAAAAGGGAAGTCATCAACAGGGGAATTAGGAGCAGGGATAGACTGCAAGCATCTGGCTTATATCCTAAGTCAGCGGCCTCCAGCCTTTCCGGGATGGTTTCATACACACACGCACATGCAGACTCACCCACCACTTCCACAGCCCGGTTCCAAATGGCCTGCTGCTCTTAGTTGCCAATTTTGCTTTCACAAGAATTAGAAAAGTCAAATGCAGCTTTCATTGGATTAGTAGAGGCTCACAGACCTGTACTGATCCTCTTTGATGCTGCCTGCAAAGCCAAATGGTGCAATGCATCTCTGGACCAGAATGGAGGTTCCAGCCACTGGGTTGAGATAGCTCTCTGAAGCACTCTGGAGGGAATTAGCAGTTCTTTACAAAGTCCCTGTATTCAAAAGTGCAGGAATCTCCCACTTCATCTGAAAAATTCACACAATAGCAAAGTGCTTTGAATAACTTTATGGTAAAGTTTTTGGTGGAAAAGTCAAAAAGAAGTATGTTAGAGATTGGCCAAGATATATAAAAATATGAATCCGGATTGTTGGAAATGCAAAAACAAAGAGGGAACATTTTATCACATGTGGTGGCAATGCCCCAAAGCAAAGATTTATTGGGAGCAGATAAGGAGATGGATACAGGAAATAACAAAAGAACGAATCAAACTTAAACCCGAATTATTCTTATTAGGTATAATTAACCCAAAGATGGAAAAACAACTTCAACGCATCATTGTACATATAATAACAGCGGCACGCATTGCATATGCACAATGCTGGAAAGGGGAAAAATACCAACAAATAATATAATTATTTACAAGATACTAGAATGCGCTGAGATGTACAAACTTACTCTGGAAATCAAAGACAAAGAAGCTACAGAATTTTATGATATATGGGACAAGTGTTACAACTAGTTAGAATTGAGGAATAAAAAAGTATGAGAAGTGATGTAAATAATTGTGAATAAATGTAAGAGATATAGGACACAGTACTGCTAAGGAAAAAATGTATTTTGTATTTTGTTTTTTGTAATGTGAAAAAGGAAAAATAATTTTTAAAAAAAGAAATACATATTATCATAAGCAAGGGAAGATAGCTGAGTGAGGCAAAGAATGGTGTTAGCAGAGTGAAATTACTTCCCTTGTAGGGTTAGTTATGCTTCTTCTATATTCCTTTGTCACCTGCAGGGTGATCGTGGAGAACATGGGCCACCTGGTCCTGCTGGCTTCCCTGGAGCTCCTGTAAGTATGAAGAAATTCTAGCATAAAGGCTGGGACAGATTTGTTCTACAGGTTTGAGATGAGATGAACTAAAGTAAATAAATAGCAGAGCAACTCATAGCAAATATTAACCAGCATGTTTAGTTTCCAAGGAAATCAGGAGAAAGAAAAGTGGAATGTCCCATATGTGGAAATGGTTGCCTGGATTAAGTTTTATCAGGCAGCTGATAAGATGCTGTCTTTTGTTCCAAGCCTGTTGGTCTATTAGTATTTCAGGAAGATTTGCCTTACTTCCACTTCTACTAAGTCTTAGTAAGTATCCTTAAATATTACGGTTTAACACTTGCAATAACTAATCTTTATACAGGGGCAAAATGGAGAGCCTGGTGGAAAAGGAGAGAGAGGTCTTCCTGGTGAACGAGGTGAATCTGGACCCCCAGGAATTGCAGGTCCATCAGGAGGTCCTGGTGCACAAGTAAGTCTGCTGTAACCTATATATTCTATGTATTCTCTACTGTTTTTGAAACTTGATTTATCCTGTATCTTTTGTAAGAGAAGCCATCTAATATATTGATTCCATTGAAATTCATATACTGATTGGTCTGTTCTTTTCTTTAGTATGATGATGCTAATTCTCATATCTTATCTAGGGTCCAGCTGGTTCAGCAGGACCAAAAGGAGAACGTGGGGGTCCAGGTCCTGCAGTAAGTATTGTTTTTTAAACTAGCCTATGTTTAGTAAACTGGTTGATTTTTGCATCCAAACTCTTAGGGCTTCTAAATGACACCATGGTCTAAACAACACTCTAATTTCTTTAAGAAGAAACATAATAAAGTAAAAAAAAATGTCCTTTTAATATGGTGTGTTCCAGTTCACCTGACATTGCAGTTCCAAAATGTTCTCAGCAGTCCAGCAGTGATCCATGGACTTACTACATTTCCATTTGAGCCAACTACATGTCCATACATTTGTTTTTTTTCCCCAGATAGCTACATAAAGGACAGATTTGTTTAGGCTAGAGCTAGGAAAAGCGCACTCTGACAGCTACTTGTAGCCTATCAGTTTTTCATGAGATCCATTATTTAGAGTCATGTTACAACAAGTACAAAACATGTAATTGCCTTTTAACCAAATTGTTAGCTGCAAACAGTCTACTTAAAGAGCCAGTTTGGTGTAGTGTAGGTACCTGGCTAGAGACTGGAAGTTCTAGCCCCACCATGGGCGCCAAGCAAACTAGGTAGCCTTGGGCCAGTCGCTCTCTCTCAGCCCAAGGAAAGAAGATAATGGGAAATCACTTCTGAAAAGCCTTGACAAGAAAACTGCAAGGACTAGGCAGTCATCAGGAGTCAAGACTGACCCAGACGCAAAAGATATATAAGTGGTGTATTTATTGTATGTGATAAAGGGTATACCAGTTTCCTGAATTTGATTTTTCCATCTCCTGTTGAGCAGTAGATCAGTGTTTCCCAAACTTGACAATTTTAAGGCATGTGGACTTCAACTTCCAGAATTCCACAGCCAGCATTGCTGGCTGTGGAATTCTGGGAGTTGAAGTCCTCATGCCTTAAAATTGTCAAGTTTGGGAAACACTGCAGTAGATGATAACTTGTTAATGTCATCTATACTCGTTTGTTTCAGGGTTCACCTGGCTTTCCTGGCTCTCGAGGCTTACCCGGTCCTCCTGGTAACAGCGTAAGGATTACTACAATTTTTAACACTTACTGCTCTTCTCTGCTTTCAGATTCTTTTCTCTGCTCCAGTATTGTAGCTGAAAATAAGCAGAGAAATCAAACTGTACAACAATTCCAATTGCATATTCAGTCACGGGGGCTGTGCTTCGATCACAGATGTTCCATTTACAAATTGAAAGACCTCTTAAGCATATCTCTGGTGGACAATACTTAACCCAGACTACTTCATGCCCATGATTGCTAACTGAAAGTCTTTCAAGGAATACCCCTTTTCCAAAATATATCTTCCCTTCTTTTCTAAAAAAAAAAAAAAAAAAAAGTAAGCAACAATGCTCCATCTTGAGTATGGTTTGTAGAAATGGAAAGCTAGAACAATCACATTGGAGTTTGAAGGATTTAGCTAGTCCAAGAGCAGGATCAATGGAGGAGTTGCAATGCAGTCATGGAATTGAATAAGGTCTCATGGAGATGCAACTCAGGCATCAACCATGGAAGCCAGTCTTTCTGCTTGTTCAATTCATGATGGCAAAAGCAGCAGTGCTGGCTACTCCTGCCCTACCCAAAGTAATAAGTGGGATAGGGGACTATGTTATGTTCTGTGGGCCGCAGGTCAGGTAACGCTGGCCATCACCGATGCAACTATAGCATCCTCATTTCCATCAGGGTGACTTTTTAGAAAAAGTGTAGTAAGCATGCAAACTGGGGGAAAAATCAATTTGGCCTACACCTATCAGATATTTCTTTTGGTCTTTGATCTTGAATTTCTTTGCTATATTTAAAAGCATGCAATTATGGATATGCTCATTTTTTATTGGTAGTGGATCTGAGGTACTTAAGAAGTTCAGTTGTTGTCCTTTATGCCTATATCATACATTCTCCATGTTCTGATGTCCTGGTAGTCTTAACTCAAGAACTGCCCCTTATTCCTCTCTCTCAAATATCACATTCTAGGGAGCGTCAGGACCACCTGGCAATGCCGGCCCACCAGGCAAAGATGGACATTCTGGCCCACCTGGTTCTACTGGCCCACCTGGTCCCCCAGGTGGTTCAGGTCCAAAAGGTGAGCCAGGTGCACCAGGAGAAAAGGGCACACCAGGAGCAAAAGGATCAGACGTAAGTACATTCTTTGAAAATTTGCATGTTTTTTTTAAAAAAAATAATATTTCAGAAATGATGACAGTATCTTCCTAAATACTTCAGCTCTGCAAATCCTGAACAGCATCACACCCAACTGTATTGCATTAGGCAAATGGTTAGGCAAACATTATAAATAAGTCCAGCAATTTAAAAAACCATCACATTAGATCATGTGTACAGAAAAAATGTTATCAATATCATATTTGCTTGTTAGATTTTCCAGGGTTGTATAGAAATTTGAAGTTGTTGTTCAGTTTCACACATCTCTGACTAAAGCACCTCTTTGAAGTCAAAAGCCAAATCAAACTCCCCTTTTCAAGGGCCAGATGAAAACAGTGCTCCCATTTCAGTCCTATTACTGAAGGGGATTTCTGCACATATCCCTGCTCCACCAGACTGAAATGGTCAGCAGAATCAGGTTGCCAGGCTTTGGTGCTGCTAAATGTCTTAATTTTCTGGATGGTGGCTCACCTTAAATTAGATAGCTGCAGGAGTTTGGATTGAAGCCATGCCTTGATGTGGCACAGAGCTGCTTCGCAGCTCTATTATAATGAAAGGATTATTTTTCTTTATTTGTTTCTAATATTCCTAACTTTAGTCAGATCCCATTTATGAGAACGAGACGACCTAAAATAACCCTGTATAAAGAAAGGATGGAATCCTTTATGCTCAAATTATCTTGAGCATATTGTCAGAATACCAGTCAAATGTAATTTGTATGATCAGGCCTGCCAAGTCTGTTCATACAGTGTATATGTAAAGAATGGTTTGAAAGTCTGAATGGAGTTAGAAAGCTATAATCCAATTCACAATAATAATAGCAATCATGTGACAATTGAAAACTGTGTGGATTGTGTAAGGGTTTGAGCTGATTTATAGAACATCTAAAAGGAAAGAGGGAAAATAATATTGCAAAAACCTCACCTATTCAAAAGAGGGCTGGAAGTAACTTATATTTTTCTTGATTTCTGTTTCTTTTTCTATTGTTTGCTGTTTCTTGCTCTTTTTTGTTTTGTTTTAGCTTTTTTTCTTTCTTTTTTCCTTTCAGTTTGTTATTTAATATATGGAAAATAATAATAATAATACAATAATTACATATGTGCATGTAGATATGGATATATTGATATATCTTCTCAAAATGTAGACCTCCAGCTTCATTCAAGCATGCCTCTTTGCTTTACACCCCCAACTCCACTGATATGCAGTTAATTATGGTCTTGATTGATCTCCCCCAGGGTATACCAGGTCCTGCAGGAAATACCGGCATACCTGGACAGCGTGGTATTGTTGGATTGCCAGGAACAAGGGGACCATCAGGCTCTCCCGGCCCGGCTGGTCCCAAGGTGAGTCCTGATCCAAAAGATTTCATGGAAGAAGTATTCAGCTGAAGGTCAGATTGTTTGGTTGGGGGCTTGAACTGGTATGTGCACGTGAGAGGGGGAGAAAATTGGGGGGCAGTATTTTTTTAATTGTTTTGCTGAGATACTTACCATCAGAGCAACAACACCTTCTGCTAATTTTGTTGCCATCATTATATCGGGGGGGGGGGGGAGAGAAATGCTGTTTTCCAAGGGGGGGGGGGAAATACCTCCTGGCAATGCTTGGAAAAATGGCCTTCATCTTTCGAAACTAAACCAGAAATTTTTTTCCCCATAATTCCACAGCATCATCTCCTACATTAATGTTCATTCATTCATGGATACTGCTGTGCCCCCCAAATTCATATTAATGTGCCACTACTTGTTAAAGCTCCAGAGAATCCTCTCTGTCCCCAGCTTGCTTCCTTGTATAATTAACCTAAGACACGGTTGCCTAATTGTGAGTAGGAAAGTATCAATAATTTTGGGAATTGATGGAATTTTGAGAGCTACATTTTGTCTGTATTATTATAAGGGGAAAAGTCTTTCATTTTCTATGATCCACTAAACAAAGGTACAATTTGAACACTATACCTGTAGGCATATATTACTTGTGGTTATCATTTATGTTAGCTGCTTTTTCAAAGGCTAGGCATGCATTTTACAAAATCTGAACATGTCCACACATAATCAGTTTCTTTCTTATTCCAATGTAGGGTGAAGATGGCAAACCAGGAAGTAATGGTAGTCCAGGGGAACGAGGATCTCCAGGGCCAGGAGGTTCTCCTGGACTTAGTGGGGCACCAGGAGAACCAGGCAGAGATGTAATCATATTTTTAATTTAATTGTATTCCTGTGATAGATGCTTGAAGCAAATAGAACGGTCAAATGATGTAACTCCCAAAATGAGAAAAATGGACCTCATGCAGATATTTTGTCCAGACATGTAATCTAATCCAGTGGTTCTTAACCTTTTTGAATGAATCGCCCCCCTTGAGCCAATGAGGAAGTTGTCATCGCCCCCCTCCCCCAACATAACCGCTCAATCACAACATAGGAAATAATTCTTCAGTTTACGCAAACACTTTTTTTGTTTTCTTTAAAATTGTCATCAGGACAATTTTAAATAATTGTCATCAGGACAATGCAAATAATTTATTTCCAGTCTTTTCCCCATATCTCCCATATTCTGACCAACGGTGCGCCACTGTATGGGTAGAGGCTGCTGCGCAACGCGCATGAAGATAAGCGACACATATTCACATATATACAGTGTTCTGTACTGAAGCTAGCTGGAGGAACATTTGAAAACACAATTCAATCCACTAATAGCAAGCGATCTGATGTTTTTGTATGACAGATATACAGTGATTCACTGTACGAAAAAGTCTCAAAAGTGTCCCCAAAACTTCTTGCTCCATTGCCCCCTTTTTGTTCCTTCGCCCCCCTAAAAAACGAAATTGCCCCTGGGGAGGTGATATCACCCAGGTTAAGAACTACTGATCTAATCAACTTAACATAGTGTGAAAGTGAAAGCGGTTTACACAAGGAACTACACCACTTAATTTCCATATCCTCGATTATCATACATAAGAACTAAATCCCGCATGATTTGAGGATGAAATTTGCAGAAGGTTTGAGAAAGCTGGTAGGTCTTTTCCTGGTGGAGATATGCACTGGTCAAGATGATCCATTACTAAGCTGATTATGTGTAAATGATTGCCTTGAAAAACATTTTTTGAGTTAATATTATTCTATTTGCAATACACTGTATCTGTTTGACCTTTTATATATACAATCATCACTTGATACTGCCTTAAACTAGAAGATTGTAGGTGAACCAACAGTCTTATAAATGCAATAGCCACATGATTGACAAGCTCTTTGCAACACTGCTAAGGTTAAGGGATCAATATTGTGAGAAGAAAATCTACTCCTGAGTTAATACTTCTTAAAAGTTTTGTTTTTTTTCTTCCTATTCCTTTGCCCACCTCCCCCCCCCCAAATCTAAATACTTATTATTCTGTATTTGTAAGGGTAATCCTGGATCAGATGGGCTCCCAGGTCGTGATGGATCCCCAGGACCAAAGGTGAGATTCAATGATATTATCATTTGATTGTGGTTGTGTCTGCTGAATCTTTATATATCTTTTTTATATATCTGTGCATTTATTTAATATTTCATGTAATAAAGCTTCATTTTCTTTTAATTTCAGGGTGATCGTGGTGAAAATGGTCCTGCTGGTGTACCTGGATCTCCAGGTCATATGGGGCCCCCAGGTAATGCTGGTGCGCCTGGAAAAACTGGTGAAAGAGGACATTCGGTAAGGATGAAAGTTATGCTGAATCCTACATTTTTTTACCTGTGCAGTAGTACATTAGCAAAAAGTTAAGAATAAGCCACTTATTATTCAGTTTCAACCAATGCTACACTTTTTATGTTGCAAAAGCCCAAGAGAAATTTAATATATTAATACTCTAGAGATGGAATTCTCTTTGAAAGAACCCGATCAAAGGTGGTATACGTCCTGTAGATTCTACAACAGCTGCAAACATCTGGGATTTGATAGTGGGAGGGGAGATCTGATTGAGCCCTGCAATCAGGGATTTTCAAAGGTTTTTAAATCAGTTAAATAATTAAGATACTCCATTTATTTTGAATTCTGTTTCCATACTAGTCCAGGGATGGGAAATATGTGATCCTCCTAATGTTGTTGAACTGCAGTTCCCAACATCCTTGCCATTGGTCATGTTGGCTTCAGTAAGCCATTCGATAAACTAGATCACAACCTACTGCTTGACAAGATAGAAAAATGTGGGTTAGCCAGCATCACTACCAGATGGATTTGTAACTGGCTGACCAATTGCACTCAATGTGTAGTCCTTAATGGAACTGTATCTACATGGAGGTTTTAGGCCCAGCACTCTTCAATATCTTCATCAATGATTTAGACAAGGGGATAGAAGGGGAACTCATCAAATTTATAGACAACACCAAACTGGCAGGAATACCCAATAGTCCAGAAGTTAGGCTCAAGATACAGAAGGATCTTGACAAACTTGAACACTGGGCCCTATCTAACAAATTATTAAATTTAATGGTTAGAAAAATAAAGTTCTATATTTAGGCAAGATATATATATATATATATATAGAATAGGTGGTACCTGGCTCAATAGTAGTAACTGTGAGACTGATCTTGGACTCCTAGTGGGCAATTGCTTAAATATGAGCCACCAGTGTGCTGCAGCTACCAATAAAGGCAACATAGTCTTAGACTGCATCAAGAGAGGTATAGAATCAAAATCATATGAAGTGTTAATATCACTTTATAATGCATTGGTAAGGCCACTCTTCAAATATTGCATCCAGTTTTAGTTACCAAAATATAAAAAAGATGTTGAGATTCTAGAAAGAGTTCAGAGAAGAGCAATAAAGATGATTAGGGGACTGGAGGCTAGAATATACAAGAACGGTTGCAGGATTTGTGTATATCTATTTTAATAAAAAGAAGGACTAGGGGTGATATGATAGCAGTGCTCCAATATCTGAGGAATGCAACAAACAGGAAGGGCGTCAACCTATTCTCCAAAGCACCTGAAGGCAGGACAAGAAGCAATGGATAGAAACTGATCAAGGAGAGAAGCAACCTAGAACTAAGGAGAAATTTCCTGACAGTCAGAACAATTTATCAGTAGAACAACTTAACTTCCAGAAGTTTTGGAAGTTTTTAAAAAGAGATTGGACAACCATTTGTCTGAAATGGTATAGGACTTCCTGCCTGAGCAGGGGGTTGGACTAGAAGACCTCCAAGAGCCCTTCCAATTTTGTTATTCTGTTTCATGGCAGATAAGCAGCATGGAGTTTTAAACTGGTCAGGATTCAAGGCAGCATATTTGGAGAACCGCCTGTTTCCCTATTCTTACTTACTTTTAAGTTTGCAGAACAAGATTTCTTTTATCTAATAATTGGAAAGTAGCTTCTTAAACCATTTCCAGTCAGAAAGGTCAAAATGGTCTGAGTGCTTTTGTGAAAAGTTGAGGGATTTCAATTATTACGGAAGGCCAACTTTCAGGTAATAATTGTATATTTATATGCAGTAGTATATTTGGGATCCTCATGGCAATTATTCATTTTATTGTGTCACAATGTATCTCTCTATTGGTACGGAATTATGCATGCCATTTTAATTTACATTTGTTTTTGTTTTCGTGTTAGGGTCCTTCTGGTCCTGCTGGTCCAGCTGGTCCAGCCGGTGCTCGTGGTGCTCCTGTAAGTCCTCGCTTCAGAATATCATTTCATTGTATGCTTCAGCTAGTTTTCTTTCATCTGAGATGCATTTTTAAAACTCATCCACACTATGTTTTTTAAAGGGCCCTGCTGGTCCACGTGGTGATAAAGGTGAAGCTGGCGAACGGGGTAGCAATGGACTCAAGGGTCACCGAGGACTTCCTGGTGGCCCAGGATCCCCTGGTCCAGTGGTAAGTTTGGCAGCTTTTGTTGACTTCCCTCAGAAAGAGAAAAAAGATGGGACTAGAAGAAGCCATCCTAAGATGAAGTGTCACTGTGAGAATAGCACCACTGTATTTTAAAATGGCTGCATCTCATTCTTTACTGTCTATTTCCATCTTAAGATGTAATGTTCTTAAGTTTTAAGAATAGGCATGCACTCCCAATGCGAAGATCCTTCCAGCACAATTGGTTCTTCTTCTTCTTCTTCTTCTTCTTCTTCTTCTTCTTCTTCTTCTTCTTCTTCTTCTTCTTCTTCTTCTTCTTCTTCTTCTTCTTCTTCTTCTTCTTCTTCTTCTTCTTCTTCTTCTTGACCATTGCTCCTTGCTCTCCTGCCTTTTTCAGTTGTGGATGGAGAGACAGCAGTGAAGGACACTACTTGCTTCACTCACCTGGGGTTTTCTTTACAAGTAAATGGGGCCCAAGGGAAGGCAAACCATTAGGTAAATGTATATGGAGATTCTCAACCATCCAGGTCATGGTTGTCCCAAGGTTGCTTTTTCAAAAGGCAAGTGGACTTTGTTTTTCCTTGAAGATGTTTCACATCTGAAAAACTGAAGAAGCTTCTTGGATGAGAAGCGAAATGCTTCAAGGAAAAACAAAGTCCAATTGCCTTTTGAAAAAGCAACTTTGGGGAAACCATTAGGTAGGAGAGATAGAAACAAGAACGACATGGACCTATTTAGATAGGGATCCCATTTGCCCAATTCTCTCACAGAACCTGGAGCTAGAGAAAGCCAGTCATTCTGGACCACCTCGCAATTGCAGAAAATAGTATCTGATGCTACTTTTTCAGAAGAGATTATTAGTTTAACTTTCATGGACCATCTTTAGAAGATCAATGTTTCTTTTCCATAAGTGTAAAGATAAAAACTTTTTCTGATTATCCCCAAATCCTTGGGAATCATGTAGAGATGAAAAGAAATTACTACAAATGCAATTTTCTGACCCATAAATGCTCAGTAATTTAAGAAAGAGTTTTGGGCTTCAGTTCAACAACCTTAGCATTGCTGAAGTCACAATAGTTGAAAAACATTTAAATGAGCAATCACAACACCCACTAACTTGTAATATATAAAACTTCAGAGGTTGCTGACTGTTGCTGATAACAATAGCATTTAATAGAAATATAGCCACTTATATTTATTAAAAGTGCTTCATATACATAACAGAAGTCTGAAAAAATAATGGTTTGCACCAATTAATGTGAGTTTATGTGAAGTGAAAAATTCATAATGGGAATGTACTTACTTATGGCCTAGTTTCGTAGTCTCGATTAATTTCTAATCCAGAATTTGTGCCCAACAGTAATGTTTCTATGAAACTTATCCTATTGTCTTCCTAGATCATATACTGATTTTCCTTTTCAGTTGAAGGTTCCGTTTACTTATTCTTATCTGCTTTTTAAAATACGTGGTTTAGATTGATGGCAATTATCAAACTTTATAATGAATACAGCAATCTCTATTTCATTCTTACCTTCGTAGGGTCCACTGGGTCCCCCAGGGCAAAGTGGAAGCCCAGGACCTGCAGGTGCTAGAGTAAGTATCTTCTGTATCTTCTTAATCCATGCTTAAATTATGTCTAGCTATTTAAAGAAATGTGATACAACTTTATAGTAATGCTTTACAACACATGAATGACACAGATATTTGATTTCTGATATGGTTTAGGGGCCTCCTGGACCAAGTGGCCCACCTGGCAAAGATGGGAGAGTTGGTTATGCAGGCCCCATTGGCCCTCCAGGTCCTCGTGGGAACAGAGGCGAAAGTGGACAAGCGGTAAGATAAACTAAGTTTCCACTCTAAGTTTCCACCTTGGATTTCAGAAGGGAAGATGTCCATGCATTGACATGATAGGAATGTCAGGACACTTAACACAGGACAGGAGAAACAAATCAGTCATATGCTGCCCACTCCCCAGAAGGTCAAAGCTGTACTTCAAAGGATCTGCATAAAAATGCTTCAATAAGAGCAAATTTGCTACAGTCTATCTGGCATATATAGCATGCACACTTAGCACATTCCCACATATATAGTCCTTAACTAGTCACTTAGATCATTTAGTGACTGATCTAAATGACCAGTCTGTTAATTATAACCAACCTAGATTCAAAGTCCAATGGTTGACCCCACTTCACGATCATGTGACCAAGTGACTTCAAGGACTTGGCAACACAGCCATGTTTACAGTCATTTGCAGCCCCCCCCCATAGTCATGTGATTGCAGTTTACAATGATTTGATCAAAACCCAGCACTTTCAGTTTTCACCAAATAGCAACCCATGATTTTAATGAACGTACCATTCACTTAAAAAAGCCCTGCAAAAAAGTCATAAAATCGAATCAGGCACATAAGTGACCTGTTTTATCACTGCCATCATAGCAGACTCCATTATGGTTTTACGTCAAAGACAACCTGTATTGGCAAAACCTTTTTGCCAATAAGATTTTGATCTAAATATTTTTGTAAAATATAGGCAAACCCAAGTTACCAACATATAAGTATTAGAATATCCAGACATTGAAGCACATAGGTCCAGTTAACACTGAAAGGAATAGATATCTCTTCATTAGGCTTCATTGTACTTGATTCAGACTCATCATTCACCTTGTCTTCAAATTTGAATAGCAATATATTGATATAGTGAGTTGATTAATTCACCTTGCTTGTAAATAGAATGGCTATTATTATCCTAAATGTTAGTAATTTCCACTGGACAACAAACACTAAGCAAATTACATACCTGCATATACAGTTACACATCTTTATTAAAAGAAGGAAGAGTCAAAATATCTGATTAATACATATGTATCATCTTACATTGTGGGAGTGCGATGGTTCAGTGGGCTGAATAGCCGACAGCCCAGGTTTGAGACCTGACCACCACACAATGGGGTGAGCTCCCATTACTCCCCCCATCTCCTGCCAACCTAACAGTTTGAAAGCATACAGGTGTGAGTAGATAAATAGGTACTGCTTTGGCAAGAAAGGTTACTGCATTCCATATTTTCATGCTGGCCACCCGATGATGGAAACATCTCTCAGATAATACAGGGTCTCTAGGCTGAGAATCGGAGATGAGCACCATCCCCTTGAATTGGTCACAACTGGACAGGGGAAAACTTTAAACTTTTGATCAGCTTACAGTGAACATGAAAAAAAAAAGAGTAACACCCAGTCTATGGGGTCTAATATATATTAGGTTTTGGAGAAAAATAAATAAATGTGTGTATAACATTTTAACATTATTTCTCTTAATGCATCCTCATGGATGGAGATTTGATGGGCAATTTTATTTGTTGTATCTGAAAGGGTCCACCCGGTCACGGTGGGCCTCCTGGGCCTCCTGGTCAACCTGGAGCACCTGGTCCATGCTGCAATGGTGGTCCTAATGGTGATGGTAAAGGATTCAGCTACTATGGAGATCAGCCATCTGAGGGCAAAATTGACATGGGAGAGGTTTTAGCTTCACTGAAATCAGTCAACAGCCAGATCGAAAACATCATTAGCCCTGATGGTTCACGAAAGAATCCTGCCCGTAACTGCAGAGATCTGAAGTTCTGCCATCCTGAACTTCCAAGTGGTATGTTCCATTCCTTTCTTATCTTTGTTAGCAAGCAATATGGGATCCTCAAGAAATAGGATGCTTTCTGTTCTTTTTTCTAGGAATACAGATATATGATTTGCTATATAAAGTCACGTGTTCTTTAACTATTCACAAAAAAATATGATAAAACTCTTCAGTCTACCAAAAGAAAACGTTGAATATTCTTGGGAAATGTAAACAAAAAAGAAATTGTCTTTGGGTGTTACCATTTACTTAATTTGTACTTTAAAACGCTAAAGAAATGTGTTTATGCAGATAGCTTTAAAATAACAGGCAAAGAGTGGAGTCTATATTAGAGAGGATTGCCTTTTTCCCAAAATGCCAACCATTTAAGTGGAGTCTATCATCATCAAGCTGAGCTAAATAATGTTTTTTATTTGCTTGCTTACTTGCTTGCTTCACTTTTCTTTTTGTAGGAGAGTATTGGATCGATCCTAACCAAGGTTGCAAACTGGATGCCATCAAAGTATTCTGCAACATGGAAACTGGGGAAACATGCCTCAGTGCCAATCCCTCAAGTGTTCCAAAGAAGAACTGGTGGACAAGCCCAGGTCCCGAAAAGAAGCACAATTGGTTTGGAGAGTCTATGAATGGAGGTTTCCAGGTAAACACTGCATTGTTTGATACTTGATGAAAGTGTTTATAGTTCTCAAACTCTGAGCAAGAAGCAACACTGAATGAAAGACCTATGTCAAACAGCCGCCAATCCTTTTGTGTTTTCACCACAGTTCAGCTATGGAGATCCAGATCTTCCAGAAGAAGTTGCAGATGTTCAGCTGGCATTCCTCAGAATCCTTTCAAGCCGAGCCTCTCAAAACATCACCTACCATTGCAAAAACAGCATTGCCTATATGGATGAAGCCAGCGGGAATGTGAAGAGAGCACTCAAGTTCATGAGTTCTACTGATAGTGAAATCAAGGCAGAAGGAAACAACAAATTCACATACACAGTTCTGGAAGATGGCTGTACTGTAAGTAAACAAAATGCCCCCAAATGCAAAGGCATTTTTTAAAACAAAAGAGAGAGTGAGAGAGAGAGAGAGAGAGGGAGGGAGCGAGGGAGGGAGGGAGGGAGGGAGGGAGGGAGAGAGAGACAGAGAGAGAGACAGAGAGAGAGACAGACAGACAGACAGACAGACAGACAGAGACATTCAGTACTTTTGGTCATTACAGAAAGTCGAATATGTATACTTAACATACAAAACAATTGTAAAAAAATAGAATTTTCAAATGCCCTTATCTTCATATCTTCACTATGTTTGTGTTGATTTGAATGCCCAAAACTACATTTATGTACTGTTTATGAGTTTTCCACTCTGCCACATATGTCAAGAGGATGCAAGTTTAGTTAGAAATATATGATGGCTACAGATGACACATGTATTTGGTTCCCACCGAAATCAGTGGGAACAATACATTTCCATGACTCATTTAGATCACCTTATTTTTATCTGGATGTAATCTGTCACAAGTATAAAAGTTTTTTCATGGAATTCTTTAGAGGTGGAAAAATTGAAATATCAGAACTGGAACAGCAAAGTAATATTTTAATATAGCACCTGCAAGAAGCAGCTGAAAGCTATTTACTCTTCTCCATCCACATCAATGAAAAGAAGTCCTTTAGAGATTTCATTTTTAAATCTATTGAATGGGGGGGGGGGATGTGAGATATCAAAATTATTCTTTCCTCATTTCCTTTGGTTACATTTGCTAGTAAAAAAAAAACCAGAAAGTTACTGGGCTTCTCAGTTCTGAAATCAGCGTATGCACAAGAGCAAGTATAACGGCTCTACCTAACTATATTTTAACATAGCTGTTGCTTTTTTACATTTCACAGAAACATACTGACGAATGGGGTAAAACCGTCTTTGAATACATAACACGCAAGACGATGAGGTTGCCGATAATAGATATTGCACCTTTCGACATTGGCGCTCCCAATCAACAATTTGGTGTGGACATTGGCCCAGTTTGCTTCTTATAAATCATGAGTAATGCTCATTCTGAACCCTAGAAAGCAAATTCACACTCCATCTTTGCTCTTGTTTTAACTTTGGCAACTATTAGAGTCAAATCAACAGTACCCCAGTTATTTATTTGCAAAAATTCTGGAAAGAGGGGGGAGAAAAAAAACAAGATAAATTCACATAAAGGGTTACCATTTTCTTATTTTGCTCTCACACAGAATACAACAAAAATGTCTTTTGCTCTTTTTCTTTTCACCAAACTCCCATGTTCAACAACACTCTCATGGTGCTACATTGCAACTTCAACACTCAGTAACTCAAGACTGTAATTTTAGTTGAATGCTTGCCCCAACCAATCAAGCATTGACGGATTCCAGCATCCAAGTTTACCTTCCATTATAAGATGCAGTTCATAAAGCTAGAGAGAATTCCCTGTTTCAACTACCTCAACATGGACAGAAACTGGGATTAGTTTGATGATTCCCATCAAGAAAGCAGAAAGAAAAATATGTTGGGACCAAGGAATACATCTGGTCTTTTTTTGTTTGTTAGTTTGTTCCTTTGCCAGATTGAGCTGAACAGAGTATAGTCCATCAGAAGAAAAGAATGCCCTAATACCAACAGACTTGTGTTATTTTATTTCTGGACTGCATTGCATGTTTTAAGGGTGCTCCGATACTTTCCTGTCATTGCTGGTCAAGACCACTAAAATTAGGGAAGTGTTTAAAAGATAAATATGATGGTGCTAGTTGTGTATGTTTTAAATCTGCAAGCCAGGTTTTATTGACTTGCCTTGAAACACCGAAACTTGACAACAGTCATAGATGTCTCTTGTTGGATGTCATATGGTTGGTAGGCCATTTCTGAAGGGCTTTTCTTCCTTCACTCTGTAAAAGTCAATAAAGATGCAGAATCATGAGCTTCTCTTGTCACATTCACACATGTATAGTGTTGAAGGTTAACCATCTTTGTAAGCTTTTATACGGTTGTTGGTCTTTTCTTTACAGAGACACATAATAAAATATTGTAATAAAATTTTGTGGCGTCCTTTCTGTGTTGTCTTATTCTTCTGGAGGTTTCATAGATAAGCTTTAATGTCATTTACTCACTGAGAAAAAAATGCAGGGTTTTCCCAGCTGAAGAGCCATCTGATTCGGCTCTTTTTCAGTTCCATTGAGCTGAGGAGTTCCAGGCATGGCTTAATTTTTCTTCTCATCCACATGGCCAGGCAGACCAAGTAACTTTATTGTAAATAATTGGCAATTATAGATATGGAGAAGTTCTGCCCATAGCAACACACAAGAAACCTGCCTTGTATAGATCAGTCTCAGGTTGAAATCCCAAGCCTCTCCCTCCTATCTTTTCCAGTCAATGGGTTTTGTCCTCTTTTTTTTCAACCTTGAAACTCTATCCCATGTAGATTTGATGACTTTTTCTAGCATGAGAGTCAGGGGCTTTCAGCCCATCAACTTCATCTTTTACATAAAGTTGCTCTGCAGACTTTCTTCATTTCACTTTGTATAGCTATATTATAGAGACTATAAAAAATTTGGGTAACTATTAACTATAGCAGGAAATATAGTTAAATATAGCAGGAAAGACACACATGGCCATCAAGATTTTTCCAGTCCAAATTCAACAACCTTGTTTCTTATAATGTTCAATCTGTTTCTCCCATTGCTCTCCTTATTTTGCCATCTCCTGCTCATCACCCCATCTAAAAACTCAAACAAGCCACATTTTCACTTTCTTCCATGCTGTCTGTTTTTCTTATTCTCTTTCAAGTTTGTTCTGTTCCTCCCTTTCTCACTCTCAGCATAGCTTGATAAAGCAAAAAGTAAAATTATAACTATAAGATGGTTATAAGATTAACCATTTCCACCATGTATAAAAAATGGAACCATGCAAAATCAGGTCCAGGTCTTTAGAGGAAGAATGGAAAACAAAGAACTGCCAACCGTATTTAATAATATTACCCCTCTGATGGCACTACTTCCTCTTTTTTGCCACCGTGATAAAGACTTACCAAAACCTCATTTTACTTTTTGGTTTTAAAGGAAAAGTTATCTATTTATTTATCTATTTTTCCTTTTATAATATCAGGTAGCTGTATTAACGTAATTCCAAACTACAAATACATGGGGGAAAAGATGAAGAAATAGAGAAAATACAAAAAAAAAAATCTACTACCATGTAAATAAAAAGTTAGGTACTGTACATGTGAAAATTTGTCATATACTACACCAGATTATAATCTATTGTTATTAAAGTAACTCAGAAAATTCAATCAAATTTGACACAATTGTGCATCCTAAGCTCATTTTACTTTTTTGCTGAAAATCAGGGCGTATGCCCCTCTGGGTTTCCATTTCACCTCACTTTCCATTTAGAACTGTATCTCATGGACTTTCCAAAGAGTGATTCTTAAAGAAAAAGAATTTAAGGAAAGAATGGAGAAAGAGATGCACCTTTTCTTTCAAGCGAATGACAATGAGGATACATCCTTGCAGAACATTTGGGACATGGCAAAAGCAAACATGAGGGGTGTAGCAATTTTGTACATGGCCAAGAGAAACAAAGAGAAAAAACAACATAGGATGAGGCTCGAGGAAGAATACAAAAAGGCTGAAACACAATTTCAGAGAGATCCTGAAAACAAAGGATTGAAAAACAAAATGGATTTAATTAAACATAAACTATGTATAGAGGATTCAAAAAAGTTAACACAAAAATTACAGGCAGCTAAGCAAAATAACTTTGAACATGCGAATAAACTGAGAAGATGGTTAGCGTATAAACTAAGAAGGCAGAAAGAGAAGCAATGGATTATTAATTTGGAAGATGAGAAAGGAGAGATTCAGGGGGAGGAGACTATAAAAAGGGGAATCACCCAAAGATACTATGAAAAACTATATAAGAGAAATGAGGGGGAAAATGCAGAAAGGATAATAGAATACTTAGAGAAGGCAGACATACCAAAGATTCCGGAGGAAATAAAATCTATGTTAAATGAGGAAATAAGAATGGCTGAAATAATCAGGGCTATAAATAAACAAAAGATCAATAAGGCGACTGGCCCAGATGGAATACCAGCGGAACTATATAAAGAACAACAAAGTGCACTCAATCAATACCTACTAGAAGTTTTTAATGCTGTATTAACCAATGTTAAAATACCTAAGTCCTGGTCAGAGGCAAATATAATATTGATTCCAAAAGAAGAAGCGGAAAAAACACAGATACAAAATTATAGACCTATATCATTATTGAATTCTGACTATAAAATGTTTGCCTCAATAATGGTGGAGAGATTCAAAAAGTACCTAATTGATTTCATACATTCGGATCAAAATGGGTTTTTACCAAACAAACAGACTAAGTGGAATATAAGAACAATCTTAGACATTCTCGAATAGTGATCGTCAAGTGGCACTTCTGTTCCTTGATGCACAGAAGGCTTTTGACAATGTCAATTGGCAATTTATGATCCAACAATTAAAATTAATGGATGTTGGTGAAAATTTTTTAAATGTGAAAACCGCAATATATTCTGAACAAAAGGCCCAGATCATAATAAATGGAGAGGCCACTGATAAATTCAACATACAGAAAGGTACAAGACAAGGATGCCCTTTCTCGCCATTGTTATTTATATATACATTAGAAATTCTTGCTAGAGTAGTAAGACAAGAAGAGCAGATTAAAGGATTTAAGATTAAGAAAGAAACATACAAACTTCAAGCTTATGCAGACGACTTAGCATTTATATTAGAAGACCCAGAACAACCAGGGCAGAAACTATTCGAAATATTGGAAGAGTATGGGGACCTAGCAAGTTTGAAAATAAATAGAAACAAAACAAAGATTATAACAAAAAACATGACTAACATACAAAAAGGAAACCTCAAGGCAAAATTAGGTATACAAGTAGTTTCCGAATTAAAATATCTAGGGATAGTTATTTCAGCATGCTGCTCATCAATTAAAGAAGACAATTATAGCAAATTGATAAAGAATATAAAAGTAGATTTAGACCGTTGGGAAAATTTGCATCTTTCATTACTTGGGAGAATTGCTGCAGTGAAAATGAACATCTTACTTAAAATGATATTCCTGTTTCAGAATATCCCAATTCAATTAGACAAGAAATTTTTCAAGGAGCTGAATAAATTAATCTTAGAATTTGTGTGGTCCGGTAAGAAGGCAAGAATAAAATTAAAGGCATTACAGGATGCCAAAGAAAGGGGAGGTTTAGGTTTCCCAGATTGGGAGCTATATTACCAAGCAGCGGCCCTAACATGGATTAGAGACTGGATAACCTTAGAAAATAAAAGATGTTTACATTTAGAGGGGTATGACCTCCAGCAGGGTTGGCATGCTCACATATGGATGGGGCAAAGCAGAAACCACCAATATTTTTTAAGACATAAGGTTTGGCAAGAATTAATAAAAAGCTGGAATATAGTTAAATGTCAATATTACACAAAAATTCCGGCTTGGTTATCACCATTGGAGGCAGTCACATATCCCAATTTGTATAGGAAAGAGAAGGCTATTATATATAAAGACATCATAACAGAAGAAGGTTATTTAAAGCAAAAACAAGAGCTAAAACAACAAGGAATAGACATGGAGTAGTGGTCTTATCTCCAAATATAAGCAAGATACATGAAGGATAAGCAAGAATGGGGTATTAACAGACAAGATACGGGGTTAGATAAAATACTGCTAGGCCCGGAGAAAAAACAAATAAAGAATATTTATAAACACCTGTTGGAACATAAGCTATATGAGGAGCAGGTTAAAGAAACAATGGTGACATGGGCAATAGATCTAGGATATAATATAAATATGGATCAATGGCAGCAAGTATGGGAGCGAAATAACAAAATCACATTGGCGACATCATATAAAGAAAACCTGTATAAGATGGTTTACAGATGGCATCTCCCTCCGGCCAGATTAGCCAAAATGTATAACGGATATTCTTCTATGTGTTGGAAATGTAAAAAAGAAAAGGGCACCTTTTTTCATGTATGGTGGACATGTAGAGAAGCACAGGTGTATTGGCATTTGGTCTGGGAATGGGCAATAGAAATGACTAGGCAAAACATTCTATACAAACCTGAGGCATTACTATTAGGAATACTAGAGAAAAATGTAAATAAAGAGGACACATATTTAATTATTCACGTGGTTATGGCGGCAAGGATACTATTTGCTCAAAAGTGGAAAGCAGTGGAAGTATCGAGTGAGGAGGTACTAATAAAGAAAATTATGTATTGCGCAGAATTAGATAGGATAACTGAAAGATTAAAAAATCAGGAAGAAACAGAATTTTATCGAATATGGAATAAATTTTATAGATGGAGGGGAAAAAATGGAGGTCACAAATAAAAAGATAAGTTAAGATAGAGACCAGAAATGTATACTTTGTATATAGATATATTATATATAATTAGTGTACAATATGGACTGAGATGTCAGTCAAAGACGATTTACCATGTTCAATGTTTTTAATCCTTTTTTTTCTTTGTACTCAATAAAAACTTATTTTAAAAAAAAGAACTTTATCTCATGAAGATAGCTCGTGCAAGTGTAAACATAGCTGATCTGAAAATGCTTCCCAGTTTTTCTCTCCAATTCATGTGCTGTGAAGTTCCTTTAGGTCATTTAAACATTTTTGTCAGAAGCCATGAACAAGGATGGAAACACCATTAGAATCATGTTCTTCACTTTTGCCCAGAAGAAATTGTCCTCCTCACTCTAGGATTATTGCTGAACCCAACATACATGAGATCAATGTCATTTTGCCCTTCCTCTTATAGTTACAAAAGGGTTATTAGAAACCACAAGAGAATAAAGTGCCTCTTTCATGAAAACTCCATCCTTCTTGGAGTCCCCCTTTCAAAGCAAATTATATTTTCTTTAAGTTAGTCTTATTTCATACTTCAACCCATTTAAAACTTTTCGGTAATGGAGAATTGCTTTGACTGCTAGAAGTTTACGTATGCAAAACGTAAACTATCAAACAT